AATATAAAATAAATTCAAGCAAATAACAATCAATGAACACATAAAATGCAAAGAAAAACATAGAGGTTTTGATGTCGAAGTAAGATTTATCAACTTGATTCTTTTATGCAATCAGAAGTTTCATACTCTATTAGATCATCTTGATCATGTTCACCATCTTTATATACCAAATGGGCTTTAGGATTCTTCCCTTTTACACTCTCTTGATAGAGGTCACAACGATGTTTGGAAGTCCTACATATCTTAGCCCAATGGTTTCCCATTCCATATCTATGGCATACTCATTTGGTCCAGTGTTGTGGTTTGGAAATACCACATCGTCCTCGCCCTCGACCACGGCCGGAATTGGGTCTACATCCACGGTTATAGTGGTTCCCACGGCCGGATGAGTTATAGTGGCCACAACCACGTCCTTTCAATCCACCACGGTCACGGCCGTGTGGTCTATCACTTTAGACGTGGTTAGATTCTTTGGATTCTTTCTTATCCTCTGCGGCCTTATTGGCATTAGGTAATGGGGTTAATCTATGAGGTCGTAACTCACTGTTTTTATGAGTAAGTCATTATTTTGCTCATCTAGCAATAGACTCATCCACAGACTTATAGTTCTGGATTATGAGACTCTCAATAAGATGGTGGCTAATATTGCCTTGTATCTATCTTTCTCTCTTGGCATTCTTGCCTTATTAGATACATTCACCAAGTCCTTTTGACTTTAGGATAATCTTAGTATCCATTGCCCATTTTAAAATAATTATCTCCTAAGAGATTTAGGGCAGTAAAGTACAAGTTGTAATTCAACATCTACAAGGAAAAGTTTTGAGTCAAAATCATGTAATCGTTAGTGTCATGCGGTATTTGAGACCGAACCATGAATCGATTTACTTAGGGATTTGACTTTCCTCTTTTGCTTAGGATTAGATTTCCTCTTTTAATTAGGATTAACTTTTCCTTTTCCTTTTAGGATTTACTTTCCTCTTTACTTTAGGATTAATTTTCCTATTTCTAAATATTTCCTAATTTGATTAGGGTTTTAAGCATGTAATCAATAAAAAAAAGAGCAAACAATCTAACAACCTAAACAATCTCAATCAAGCCGATTTAAACTTATGGAATTTTCGGATTTGCGATTATAGGTTTAGATAATTAAAACTTCTCTAGCAACTTAGGCGAGTTTTAGCTTAAACGATAATCAACTTTTTCTAGCAACCTAAACGAGTCAAACAATCCAGCAAACAAGCAATCGGATCAAGCAAGCAATCGAATCATACAAGCAAAACAATCACTTAATCAATCATCATTCGTTTTTAGGGTTTCTCTTTGCTTAACTTTCAAGTTCAATTGTTGGTTCTTTAGCTTTAGGGTTTTGATGTTACCTTTCACCTTATGGGGTTGTATGGACTAGAACCGGGAGCTAAAGACCTCGGTAACTCACGCTGCTGCAATGAACCGCAAACAGTACCACGATGAACAGTACCGCGATGAACAGTGTCGCGATGAACAGTACCGCGATGAACAGTGTCGCGATGAATAGTGTCGGCGATAAACAGTGTCGGCGATGAACTGTGCCGCGATGAACAGTATCGGCGATGAACAGTATCGGAGATGAACAGTGTCGGCGATGAACAGTGTCGGCGTGAACAGTGTCGGCGTGAACAGTATCGGCGATGAACAGTACCGAGATGAACAGTGTCGGCGTGAACAGTACCGCGATTTTTAGGGTTAGGGTTTTTAGGGTTTTCGTTAAGAGCAAGTCGTGCTGATAACGTGTTGTAAACTTATTGTTTTCAATGTATTAATGAATGAAGTTCGTTACATATATATACATAATGAGAGGAGACAAATCCTCATTGGGTTAGTAAACCCTAAAGCCCAAAAGCCCACTAAGTATAAAATGGATCCTAAAAGGAGAATCTTCTAGAACATGGGCATGGGCCTTATAGGACATGGACACGGGCCTTCTAGAATATGCATAAGGCCCACGGTTATGGAATCCATCCAACATGTGGTTTATAACATTTATATATACCTACTTTTTTAATTTCTCCAGCATGGAAGTTGTGTAAGTTGTTTGATCGGACGGTTGAGATTTAGAGATTGTAGAAATAGCGTTTAACTTAACGTTATCTTCTAAAGTCTGAGGTGGCTTAAGTAGGTGATTATTCCCTGTAAAGTGTTGACAATAGAGACTAAATTGAGATCTGATATTGACCGTTCGATTGAAATCCAACGGTTGGAATTACGCGAAGCCGGTACGGGGATGGAGAACGTGGCGACGCGGTTTAGCTGTGTGCATGGCTTGGGCGGGCACACGCTAGTACAGGATTTAAATTGTGGTGAACACGTGTCGTCTATGTCATTTATAATCTAGACCATTAGATACGCCACGTCAGACTCCACGCTGGAAAATGTCTAAGAATAGATTGGGCCTTCCGTTTTTTATGTTTGAGGAAAGTTTGGCCTTTTGGTATATGGCCCAGATCTTTTTTTTTTCTCTTTTTTTTTCTGACAATGTAAATATTTATAAAATTAAAAAAAGTTTAGAAATACAATCAATGATTATATACCCAAGACAAATGATTCCATAACAAAAAAAAAACTAAAAACATGGAAGCATAATTCATAATCCAAAGATCCGAGGTTGAGTGGATCTTTTCTTTCTTAACAGAGAATTGTACAAAAATTTGAATTCTTAGATGCGTTGATCTTTCGCATATAAGGATCGGATCATTAGACTGAGAGATCGCGTTTGCGTTTGACGTTTCTCGTGCCATAAACTACACAACGACAAATGGACATGCAAGAACATCGTAAATATGCATCAACATAAGGTTGCGACACAAATCGAGCAACTATGCAAAACGCCTAAAGCCACGAAGCCTTAGAGATTGACAAGTAGATCAGTCAAAGTTGGCGTGGCTTAATAATAACTTTATATACTTTTTTGATAAGAAAATATTTTATATATACTTATCCGAATAAATCCACCTTTTGCGCTTTATTTCTATTTTCTAGTGTCTAAATATATAAAAGATCATGACGACCACCGTCATTATCAGTATCTTCCTTGCGATCTTCGCTACGAGTCTTCAAAACGCCAGAGGAGCAACCATGGAACCGTGTCTCGAATCAATGAAGACTGCTTCACTTCCTGATCTTCCGTACGCTTATGATGCGTTAGAGCCAGCGATCAGTGAGGAGATCATGCGGCTACACCACCAGAAACACCACCAGACTTATGTCACTCAGTACAACAAAGCCCTTAACAGCCTTCGCTCTGCCATGGCCGACGGTGATCACTCCTCCGTCGTCAAACTCCAAAGCCTCATCAAGTTCAACGGCGGAGGTCAAAACCCCTGCTATAAACGATACTAAGTTCTAACTAAAATCTTCCTGTCGGTGCTTGTTGATCTTAAGGATTTTGATTTATGTTGTTGCTTTGCTTGTAGGTCACGTTAACCATGCAATCTTCTGGAAAAACCTAGCCCCTGTTCATGTACCAATTAATATATTACTTCTTCGTCACTCCATCTTCTATTTAAGATGATTTTTTTCTTTATAATGGGTCATATTGAAATGGTAGGAAGGAGGTGGCAAGCCACCGCACGATCCTTTGTCTTCGGCGATCGATGCTCATTTCGCATCATTAGAGGGATTGATCCAAAAGATGAACGCGGAAGGCGCTGCCGTGCAGGGATCTGGATGGGTGGTAAGTTCTTCTTAGAATCTCATTAACAATAAGTTGGGAAATCAATTATTGTTTTTTTTATGGGAATTTATAAAGTTTTCTGACATAATATCAAAATTCAGTTCAATTTGAATTGGATATGTGATGTAGTATAGGACTCTGTTGGAAATGAAAAAGAAAAAAAAAAAGAACATTATAAAATATCAAAAAAGGTGTTAACAAAAATCTAAAAGTGACAATAAGATTGGTTAGTGTATAGTGTAGCATAAGAAACTTATTGACTTGTTAACTAACAGCAACTTTTTTTGGTTGCATAAAACCCATGTTTGTGCATCCTGTTTTATAGTGGTTTGGATTAGACAGAGAGCTAAAGAGACTTGTCGTTGAGACCACAGCCAATCAGGTAGATTAATGTAGTAATTAAGCTAATTTGTATCATGTCATGGTCTATCTCTCAAGAATTTAGGAAAAAGAAAAGAAAAAGATTTGATATATAGAGAAAATACAGGACCCATTGGTGACGAAGGGATCACACTTAGTTCCTCTAATCGGGATTGACGTGTGGGAGCATGCCTACTATCCACAGGTACTCTACTCTCAATTATAATACTCCTTGTCCTTAAGATAGAGTAATAGAACATATATATCGGTTTCAATAATAAATCATCTAATAATTGAATATTAACTTTGATCATCAATTGGTACGGCTAATGCAGTACAAGAATGCTAGAGCGGAGTACTTGAAGAACATATGGACTGTGATCAACTGGAAATATGCCTCGGACGTATTCGAGAAGCACACTCGTGATCTTGATATTAACTGAGTTTTCGTACATGTAAAAAATATGCACATAATAGAACGAAGCTTGAAGGTTTGAAGTAAGTAATCAATACGGAAGTAGCGAAGATGCAATAATAAGTTTAAGATGCTATGTACTTTGGAAAAAAATGTTTGGTAATGTTTTTCTTTTTGTTGTTTTAGAAATAAAATCAAAAAAATTTATCTTTTGGCCTCGGTTGACTTAATGTAATAAGTCGAATTAAATAAATAAAATTTTAATATATGAAGTGATGTATATAAATGAAATTTCGAAGCAAAAAAATTCCAAACTCGTAAAAATCTAAACTAGTCTTAATAAATTGGTTATATAATCGTTTTTAAAATCACTAATCTCATAAAACATTGTAAATTACTAAATTTGTTAATTTGGGGCCCGCTTGCTAAAAAACATTCATGAATCGGGAGGCAGGACTGGGCTTACAATGGGTCATGCACAGGCCCAAATATTTCATAGTCAAACCCACTTCTAATAAAACCCTAAACGACAATGGTCTGCATATATTAGAGATTATTTTGCAAATTTTAGGGTTACTGAACACTTCTTCTTCCCTGTCGCCGCATCAAAGAGAACTGAAGCAATAAGCTTTTGAATCTCTCTGCATCAACATGGCAAGTCTTCTCGTTCTTTGATAGATTCATCGTTTTGAACACAGAATCAAGCTCAGAGAGATTTAGAAAGCAAAATTGTGTATTGAATTCGAGTTTACTCTTTTTTTGTTGCAGACTTTCAAGCGTAGGAATGGTGGCAGGAACAAGCATAACCGTGGTCATGTGAACCCAATCAGGTGTTCCAACTGTGGAAAGTGTTGCCCCAAGGTTTGATCTCCTGTTTAACCATTTCCCGAGACAAGTCTAAGATTGAAAATGTTTCGATCTGATTTTGGTTCTCTTGTTGATAGGATAAGGCGATTAAGAGATTCATCGTCAGGAACATTGTTGAGCAGGCTGCTATTAGAGATGTGCAAGAAGCTAGCGTCTACGAAGGTGTGTGTTTTAATGATTCTTGTTGTGCATTGTTGTTAATTGTGTGTTTGAGATTTTAGTGTAATTAGTTATGTATTTGTTTTGGATTTGTAGCTTACACTCTCCCAAAGCTTTACGCTAAGATGCAATACTGCGTCTCTTGTGCTATCCACTCTCACGTTGTTAGAGTCCGATCCCGCACTAACCGTAGGGTTCGTACCCCACCACCTCGTTTCGCCAGACGCAAGGTAAGCTCTCTGTACAATCACTTCTATAAATCAATTCGTTTATTCTTCCTTTTATCGTGATTGTGTACTTAAGCAGTCAATTTTGCTTAAATAGTTAAAAAAAGTGTCTGTTTTTTGTTTGTTGGCTCGTAACTTCAATTGATTTAATAGCTGTTACTGTAAATTCAGATGAATTATAATAGCTGTTGTTTTGATAAATCTTAAGAATTCTATGACAATGTGAGTTCTACATTGTTTCTTAAGCTTGGCTTTGCTGCAATCTTTTTACTCTGTGCTTTCGAAAACGATAAAATTTTCAGGAGGACACTCCCAAGCCTGGACAGCCTGGTCAGGCTCCTCGCCCTGCTGGTGGTGCTCCTGCTGCTCCTCGTGCCTAAAGACTTCAAGAAGCTGGCAATCCAAAACTTTTTATATTCTAGTTTCAGTCTCTCTGTTGTCTGAAATTTTTGAAGATGTTTTCTACATTTTGCTAAAGATGATTTCGCCATATGGAGCGTTAAATGTTTCAGACCATTTTACCAGTTGATTTTTCTCACTTTTTGATCTTTGCAACATAAAACCCTTTGTTTGAAGAGAAATTTTAAATGACCAAAGATTCACTCGTTCTTAAGCGAGACTGGGTATAATATGGTATCTTAAAAGTTGTCATAAAGTCAAAAAATATATTCGAAGGTTGGATTTGATTACTTTGTATAGCAGAAACAGAGGCTACAAAAATGATCTTATCAGCTTGATTAATATGGTATAACAATTTAACTCTGCAAATTATCTTTGGCAATCCTTACGAAATGTGACATGGGACAATCTGTTTTGAGTGCGTTGGGGATAATGTGAGATCTGCTAGCAGCGTATCCCTCCTGCAAAAATCCAAAAGCAGAGCTTCTTAGCTTTTTACCTTCACATGTGTTTCTTCAGAGATGAAAACTGTGAGAATTCAGTAACTACTTTACCTTGACTAGTGCACTCATCATCTTCTTCAACGGAGGTGAGTTCATCTTTGCTCGGCTCGCCATCTAATCACAACATAAACAAATCCATATCATCTAATGTGGATGGATATCATCTTTCTTATCAGTGGAACTGAATAATGGTTTTAGAGGACCTCATCCATTTTGGTGTATCCAGGGGGTAGTCTTGGATCACTCTCTTCGATCATTATGCTGAGAAGCTTCTCTAGATCCATGCCAGTGCCTTCACTGACCCATCCCCATTCCTTTGCCAATTCCAGCATTTCCGTAACATACGAAGCATCATGAAGCGGTCCAAGCCACATTGGTCCTGAAACAACCAGTGAAGAAGAAGCCTTTGTATCACTGCAGGGACATCCCATCAAACCAAGTTCATCCCATCTCAATGTATGCGAATGGCCACATAGGTTACAGTGCGTGACAAAACCATAGTTCCTACAGTTAAGACACAAGAAAACTCCAATTACAAAAGCAACATAACCAATATTCGAGTCCTTTTAGTCAGATTCAGAATGTAGAAACAACCTGTCCTCATGTAGCTTCCCACGGTGAACCCTCAGCATGACTCTAAACACAGGTCCATGATAAGAATAGTAGGAGAAAAGAGGCATAACATGATAACCCAGCAGAGCGGCCTCTCTTACTGCTCCACCTATAAGCATCCGCAGCCCAATCTCATTCCCAAATGGCATAGGCCGAATAAATGCTCCATAAGCTGCTAAAGAACTACACCAAAACAACCCAAGAAATGTTTCAACTTCCTTCAAACTCATAGCATGTTTCCTAAAATGTTCCATAAAGCCTATTGATATGAGACATTTCAGTTTCTTACCATTGAAACCAGTAAACAAAAACCGATTCAGTTCGAAAAAGTAAAGCACAAACTTACTAACTCTACAAATATGTAATTGTTATATTAAGCTTTCTCACTCACTTATAAGGTCTGTGGCCACCGGAAGAGTAACCATCAGTTGAGGTCAAGTAAAGCAAACCACCCAATCTCAATGCATTAAACGCATCTCTCAAAAACGACGAATCGCTCCCAAACGAATCAATGTCAATCATATCGAAGAAATCCGCAACCATATATCGCTCAATCATCGCTTTATTAGCCAACATATGCGTCACGACCCATCTCCTCTCATCACCAACACCTCTCTCTACTTTACTCAGATTATCCGTAATCACTCTCCGATTAGCATCGTTCGCGTCATTCGCCATCACGAAATCAGCATCAGCTTCCACAAGATAACGAAGCGACCTAATTCCACATCCGCACATTGCGTCGAGTACCCGTAAGCTTCCATTAGATCTCTTGTACAGCGTCGCTGACAAAATACCGAGGTCTCGTCCTCTAGCGCTTTCATGGCGGAAAAATGTCTCTCCCGTTTCAAATTCGAGATTCCTCTCAGTCTGAACCTCGGATTTCACGAAAATTGGATTGAATCTACATTTAGAACTCTGGAATCGACATGAATTTGGGGATTTACATCTAGGGTTTTGCGATTTTTGCACAGTGAAGGAAGAAGATAGGGTTTTAGGAGAGAGAGTTGACAACATAGCGGGAAAAAAATCTGACTGTTTGCTTATTATTATTTTTTTTTATCGTTTATCTAAATTAGTCCATTCGATATTTCGCCACGTGTACGGAAGAGATAAAACCTCGTATTCGTACGCCACGTCATTAAACTGATGATTAGTTGGGTCCCACTTTTTATAAGGCGTGCAATCGTCTATACTCGAGACCACATAAAGATACGATACACTTTTTTGCCCTTTCATAGAATTGAGTCTCTGTTTCTGGGTTTTGGACTTTGGAGGAATTAGGGTTTTTGTTGAATCATTCAAAAACATTGACCATGGAGGTCAAAGAGACTACGAGTCTCCAACAAGAATGAAGAAGGAGATTAAAAAAAAGCTCTTTTTTTTTCTTGGCTGAAAATGATTTGAGAGGAGCAGGTGAAGTTAAAAAATTTCTAATTGATAAAAAAAATGGCAGATTGTTTTAGGTCTCCACTATTATGAACCTTCCATATTTTTTTATTTTTCTTATATTATCCCTTAATTTTTTTTCTTTCATTACTTGGTGATAATTCTTCTCCCCCTCTTAAACAAAAAAAATTAGTTTCGGTTTCTCTTCTCTTGATCAATGAATACAAATCGGTATTCGTAAACAATAATCTCTTCCGTTTTATTTTACTGACTCATATCTGTTTTTATCTGGGTTTTATATTTTTCCCCTTTGTGTTTGAAAGAGTTTTTGGTGTAACGTTTATTATCCATAAGATCCAAAAAACCAAAAGCTGGAAACTTTGTCTCGAGGTGAAAATAATCTTTGCTTAATATTTAGGAATCCAATGAATAGAAGCATAATTTTCCTCCATATCCTCGTTATCGGTTTTTTGATTGAGAAAACAAAATGATGTTCCTCGTGAATCTTGTTTTTTTTTTGGGGGGTTTCTCTCTTTTGTCTTAAGCCATCTTCGTGGTCCTTGTGAAGCTTTAAGATGAAACCCAAAATGCCGTATTCGTTACAATCTTAAACCCTGTTCCAAGTTTTGATTTTTTTTTGTTTCTCAATTTTTGTTTGTTTGCAGGAATTAAAAGCCTCTTGAATATCCACAGATTAGAGCCCAAAGAATCTCTGGACAAATGGACTAAAACCGCAGGTACTCACTCCTTTCAATACTTAAAACCTCATTTTTGTCAAAAACAATTTCTGATTTGGAAGAGACAGAGCTGAGACTTCTGAGCTAATTCTTTCCTAGGTATAATCATCACGCAATATAGCTTAGCTATTTTGATTTGTTTTCTTAATAGATATTTGATTTTGCTCTGAGAAGCTAAACATGAGGGGTACCTAACTAACACTGTATTCACTATTGGCATGCTCTGTTTCATTTTTTATGTATCTTGCTCAGGATGTATCTCACTCACTCTCTGGATTAGCCTCGATTGTTCTAAATCAAATTTGGGAGCTCAACAACCAACTCTTACCTTGACTTCATTTCTTTTGCTTGAACATTTTGTCCTTTTCTATGTCTAATGTGATCACAATAAGGTCAATTGGAAATATTTTTTGTAATTTCTTTTTGTGCTGTGGTTTGTAGATGTCACATTTATACAAGGGGCTTATTGGGTTGAGGATTTCTGTGTTATCAATCTGGTGTTAGTTTGAAGTTATGCTCACATGGGTGATATTCAAGAAAGATTGTCAGTTTCATCATCTTCGTCTTCTTCATCATCCTCATTGTCACTATCAACAGCACAACCTAAAGCGGATTCATTGCTGATAGAGGAGGAATCTTGGATGATTGCAGAGGAGAGAGCTCATGAGATACTTTGCACTATCCAACCTGCCCTTGTTTCAGACAAAAGTAGGAATGAGATCATTGATTATGTACGAACTCTGATCAAGAGTCATGATGGAATTGAGGTTAGAAACTCTGGTTCTCTTTTCTGACATGTTGAATATTTATGTTGTTTGTTAACTTTCAATGGGAACTTGTTTATCTACAGGTCTTTTCATTTGGTTCAGTGCCACTAAAAACTTATCTCCCAGACGGAGATATCGACCTGACTGTCCTAACTAAGCAAAATATGGACGACGATTTTTATGGACAATTATGCAGCCGGCTTCAAAATGAAGAAAGAGAATCTGAATTCCATGCAACAGATGTTCAATTTATCCCTGCACAGGTCTGTTTGTTTGTTTACTTTTTGGTTTCATTTTTGTATTTTCTTGGTTGCCCAAATTTTACTTAAGAAAGTTTGCTGATTTATAATAGGTCAAGGTCATAAAATGCAATATCAGGAACATTGCTGTGGATATCTCTTTTAATCAAACGGCAGGTCTCTGTGCTTTATGTTTTCTCGAACAGGTACCATACTCTATTCAAAATCAGGCTCTAGAAGTCTACTAAACAGATTATTGCCTAGCTTTGATTCTTAGTTATTGGTTAAGCTCTGGCTTTATGTATTCTCAGGTTGACCAACTCTTTGGGAGAGATCATCTTTTCAAGCGTAGCATCATCCTAGTCAAAGCTTGGTGCTATTACGAGAGTCGAATTCTTGGTGCTAACACTGGATTGATCTCAACATATGCATTGGCAGTACTAGTTTTGTACATCATCAACCTATTTCATTCATCTTTATCTGGCCCTTTAGCGGTAATCACTCTTTTTCTGAAGCTTTTGCATCGTCTACTGTAAGTGATATATGCAAAAGATGAAATTATAGAATTGTCTTTCAACAGGTTCTGTATAAGTTCTTGGATTACTATGGTTCATTTGACTGGAACAACTACTGTATCAGTGTCAATGGTCCTGTGCCAATATCTTCCCTTCCAGAACTTACGGGTAAGGATGATACCAAAAATCACAGATATTTCTATTCGTTGCATTTCTCTGTGTTATTTGACATTTTAATTTGGTGTTTTCTCTTTCTATCTTTCCAGCAGCTTCTCCAGAAAATGGGCATGAGTTATTGCTTGACGAGAAGTTTTTAAGAAACTGTGTAGAGTTATTTTCTGCTCCAACTAAAGCTGTTGACTCAAATGGTCTTGATTTTCCTATCAAACATCTCAACATAGTCGATCCTCTAAAATACAGCAACAACCTCGGAAAAAGTGTTACACAAGGTACTTTATTGATAACAGTTTTATAATCAATATAGCAGTTGTCAAAATGTTCATTTTCTTAAAAACATTTTGTTAGGAAATGTCCAACGAATAAGACATGCTTTTACACTTGGAGCTCGAAAGCTCAGAGATGTTCTTTCATTACCTGGTGACACCATGGGATGGAGATTGGAGAAGTTCTTTCGTAACTCTTTGGAGAGAAATGGTAAGGGACAAAGGCAAGATGTGAATGATCCCGTTACTGCGTTTGGTACTGGAAGATCAGAATTGTCTGAACTTAGTGGAGATTTCGAAGGTTACTTTGGAAGACTTGTGTATGGGCAAATTCATGGGTATAGCTTACCTGGAACATTTCAGCATGGCTATATCCCGGTTAGTTCTCAAGTTACGGACCCAAGTGGTTGGGATATTGTTCGTCACCTTGTGACTTACCGAAAGAACGAGTTTTATCTTAAAAGTCTCAATGTATCAACCTCTTTACCTAATGGCTGTCAAAACATGAGGAGAGGAACCGGCACATATATTCCTGACATGGTATGCGATTAACCCCACTGACTGACTTTTTGGCTTAAAAATTAAATTATTGCTGCAAGCTTCTGAATTGCTTTCTCACTGGTTGTTGCAGAGTCAACAGGTATACTCTGACAGGTTCAGAGACTCAGGTACTGGAACCTCATCAACTCATCACTTAGAAGCTTCCGCTGAGGCAATAGACAATGATGGAGCCAGTAGTTGCTGCAATCTTTCTGGTGAAGTGTCTACATGTACCGGTAACAAAGGAGAAGAATGTGTGAGACCAGAGACTAATAGTAACCCAGATCAGAAGCCTGTGCTGAAATCTCAAAGATCTGAGCATTTGGAGATTGATGACAATTGCCAATTTCCACCACCAGAAAACCTAGTAGAACCTCTATCTTCAAGCACATTGGTATTGGAAAATGGCAAAGAAGAGAACAGCAGATCCTCCCAAACCATGAACGGTTCTTGACTTTTAGTGGTTGTGACCAAATCTTTGGTTGATATCTTGACATTACCTTCAGGATTACTAGGCTCTCTTAATCACATGGACAAACTCTATTTAGGATTTAAAAGATTCATCAGGAACTTATTTTCTTTGTGACCAATGTTTCGTTAGAGATCTCTTCTTCATTGTTGGTAGGACAGAATATACAATAGTGGTATAGATTAGCAGTTGATTTGGCATTTGCGTTTTGCTTGGAATCCATACCTTCAGATTTTTTGTCCATATTCATACGAGATCTCCTCAATTTTACTTCTTGTTACTTGTGGCGATTTGTGCAGAGAGTAACAAACATTATTTCACTCAGTGCTCAAAACATAAACACTAGGTTTTGTACAACCAGACACTATGAAAGTTGTCCTGAGTAACAACAATAGATTTCACGTGTTACAGGATACACAACAGGTATACAGAAACACAAGGCAATCTTTGAGATTTGAGAGCCTCCTAACAAAGTGCCTTCTAACAAAGAACTATACATCGGAGTGTGATACTGTCTGGGGAGTGAGAACGTACATATGACAGTCGTGTGCGTCTACTTGAGCTTCAAAGGAGCCAGACGCGTTCTCTGTAACATCTTTGTGCTGCCACAAATCTCTTACTGAGACGCTAATGGTAGATTCAAGACCAATCACATCCCATGATGCTGTAATGGTTGCTTGCTCAGAGCAACGGTTCCAGAGAGCAACTACAATACGGTCACCAGATAAAGGTCCTGACCACACCTGCAGTGAAAATTATCACCAATTTAAGTCCTCAAGTTTGTTTTACTGCTTTTTCTATGACTGATAATTCTGTGACTCCCAAATTCCCAATTCATACCTGCTGACAATCATCTTCTCCATTGGCTTGAATTTTCCTTCCTTGAACACCAAGTGGGTCTGCAACCAGAAATGTTCTCAGATTCTCGGTCTTCGACAATGGATTTGTGGAAAATCATGTATGCAGTGAAGCTAACAAGTAAAAGAATATTGAAGTTCACCTTGGTTTACAGCGATAACTTCCTTATTACTCAAAATCTCAAAAGTTTCAGCGGTCATGTTTCTTACATCACAACCAATCAACAGGGGTGCCTGCAAGAGAACCATGGGAATGAGATGAGATCTATGATATAAAAGAAAATCAAGAAACCATGAAATGAGTTACATACCTTCATCAAAGCCCAAATGCTAAAATGACCTCGATACTCCTCGTATGTCATCCCTCCATTCCCAATTTCCAACATATCCGGATCTAATGCAATGGAAACAAATGTGATCAATATTTAGATGTACTAGTTGTTACTCCAATGGAAAACATTTTTTTGAGATTTAAATGATTGTTTACCATTCCAACCACCAGGTCCAGCATATGCAGCCCACTTGTTATTCAAATCAGCAATTGTAGTCATACTTCATAAACAACAACAAAAAAGAGAGTAAAACAATCAGATCATGATTCAGTCAAACCAATTCCTCTCCTACCAACTTAATGTTCATGTACACAAATCACAAGATCTTCATTACAAACAAATGAAACACGGGATTTATCTTATGCTAAGAGATATCCACCTTGCCCATGTATCGTTGATGTCATCGGTTGTGCGCCAACTGTTTCCAACTTCTTTTGCCCACAAGGCTGGATCATCAACGCCCCTGCAAAAAGTAGCAATACAAAAAAAAAGTGGTTAATAACTTAGCAGAATGCTATGGGAATCAAATTTACTCAGCCTGTGCGAAGACAAATGTGTACCATTCACAAAGTGAATAGAAGATTGAGCGACCAGTTGCGTTTAGAGCATCACGCATTGGAGGGTATCTAGAAAGTGGAAACCATAATCCGTATCAAGTCATTCAGAAAATTATACCAAAAAAAATTCGTGAGTAAAATTGGTACCATATCAAATCATAAAAGATCAAACCTTTTGATTGGTTTTATTCCCAGGTTGAAACAGTTGTCATATTTCAGATAATCCACACCCTGGAAATCAAGTCTACCAATGAGAAACCAAGACAAAGATACCACCGAGTATCAAAAACATAGTAATGTTTGTTTTTAATTATAAATACACAAGATAATCCTCTATAAGGTCATTGAGTACTCAAATTTTGAACAACATTCGCTGAAAACTAACCCAAGAAGCAAATATGTCAGCATCATCCACTTCATGGAAAAGGGATCCCGGGCGAACTTGACACGTGAAAACGCTGAGAGGAAATATTAAAATAGAAACATGAGACCATAGCATATAACTTCATCGAGCTTATAATACACCAAAATAGGTACATGAATATGAACCTACCCAGCATCAGAATATATACCGAGTTTGAGACCCTTTGAATGAACATAATCAGCAAGAAGCTTAATTCCTGATGGGAAGGTTTCAGGATGAGGAACCAATTGACCCTGGATTTCAAGATTTACAAAAGAAAGTAAGCATCCAGCGTCTAGTTTAATGTCATTTACAAAGTCATCGAGAAAAAGAACTTCTACATAAAAATAGAGTAAAGCCAATATCACTTCTACAAAGACATGAGCTCACTACAGATAGTATTTTCGAGCGTAAGCAGAAATTACTACTCAAGTTAGAACAGCAATGTTGAAGTAATACAAGCGATCTTACCTTTGAATCGCGTAACAAATTGGACCAACAATCATCTGCAACAAACCCAAATTTGTGAAACGTTAAAGCAGTAAGATTTCAAGACTCTCAGATAGAGAATATATGAAGAGACAGGTCCAAGGGACAAATACCAATATTGACATGTATGTATCCCAAATCAGCCAATCCAGATGAAAGTAAAGCATCAGCTGTTAATTATAGAAAGTAAAATATCAGCAACTCTAATGAGAACATAGAAAGAAAAAAAATCAGATGAAACATGTGAGTAGCTTTTTATTAGAAGCTATCAAACAAAAGAAAGCTTTACCAGTTTCCTTTATGACTGTTTCATTGATATTGCAAGCAAAGAAATTCCAGCTATTCCATCTGTCGATTAACAAAGCACAAGTCCAATCAGAGAATCTCTAAACTCTAACTTGTAAGAAAGATTCAAAGTTCCAAACTTTACAACAGAATAGGGACAAAAACACATAAAAATTGTTCCTTTACATGTTAGCAGAATCAGAAACAAGCCACGAAAATCAAAATCGAAAAAGCAAATTCCTTGAACCTACCCCATTTGAGGAGTTCGAGCAAGGCCATTGTTGAGCTGCAAGCGTCCGTACATAGAAGTATCATAGATCGAATTGAAGGATTTGCTGAAAACTAATCCACCAGTATTGCTCTGCAACAATGGAGCTTTGACTCTCCCTGAGATCGACTGAGAGACCAAAACAGATAAAGAGAAGAGCCCAACGAGGAACAATACTGAATCTTTCATCTTCTCGATGATAATCACCATTAACGTGTTCTCACTTCTCCAGAGATTTCTTCCTCTACGTGTCCTCCTTGAACAAACCAAAGCATCAATGAGTCAAACACGTAAACGTCTTATAGATGATGGAGTCGTATCGAGATCTCCAACTCCGAGAGTTCGATGGAATAGTTCCAGAATGAGTCATCATCATATATCATTTTCATTTATTACAGTTTTAACTCGATAATAATTCAATTAGACCATTGTTTAACAAAAAGAAAGTGTATTTAAATCTGTCCCATACATACGAATTGCTCTTGGGTTTTAATCATTTATCTGGTCAATGTTTAATGTTAGTAAGCTTACCGCACACGAATTCAGCACATGATTTGTGTCTGATACAAGTTTATCAAAAGATTAAAAAAAAACAATGCTGTTATCTAAAGTAATTTCATCATATTTCCAACATCATTATCTAAACAAATAACAAAATAAGAGTTCAACGGCTATAGAAAAAGAAGCCCAAGAAAATAAAACATGTAGCAAGAGCCAAGGCGGTCATGCCTAAACCGGATTTAGGCTCAAAGGGGTGCATGGTCTCCACACCGTGTCTTTTCCAGGAATATCCTCCAGGGCGATTCCTTTAGCTGCCAACAACTCTCTAATTTGATCGCTTCTCTTGAAATCTTTATTCTTTCGGGCTAATTTCCTTTCGTCGATCCTCCGCAAGACCTCTTCTTCTCCTATTCCTGCTCTTGTTAATGCCTTTTGTTTCATCTCTTTCAAAAACTCGTCGTAGCTTAGAGTCGTGAGCAAACCAAGCACATCAAGAACTTCCCTCACTGCTTTCTCAACCTCGACTAGTGATACGATCAGCGACATCCGCTGCTTTTTCTGAATTTTCTTGAGCTTGGAGATTGAAACGTTGATGAATTTCAATGCGTCTTGCAAAGCACCCGTGAGTATATGGGCAGTGTTCAAGTCGTTTGACATTTTTGTTTCAAACTCACTTTTCACCTTCTTTATCATCTCTTTGGCTTCTGCAGTCTGTTGAGTCTTTCCCACATCTCCACTCATTTCTTCTCGATATGGCGATAGATATTTAACAAGATCTTCTAATGTCTGAATAAACAAAGACTACAGGGTTAGAGTTATGTAACATTCAAACCGTTTTCCCTTAAAAGATGTTAATCAAATTGTGGGGGTAGTGCACCTGATAAGCACAATATAAAGCATCCGATGAACTCTCAAGCTGCGAAACCGAATAGTTCAGAGGAGAACGGTACTGTGCACTCATCAAGAAGTGTCTTAGAGCCAGTGGATGATATTTTGCCGTGATCTACACAGATTCAACAATTTTGCATTAGCCATGAGAAAACACTAACCCAAAAAGACTCAATTTATGATTTTGGAACAAATTAGAAACATACTTCTCTAATCGTAAAGAAGTTGTCCAGTGATTTTCCCATCTTCACATTGTTGTTGGTAACATGCCCATTATGCAACCAGTAATTCACACCACTATCTTCACAAGCAGCACATGTCTGGGCGATCTCATTTTCATGGTGCGGGAATTTCAGATCTGCGCCACCACCATGAATGTCAAATCTCGGAGACAGGTAATGAGCACTCATGGCGCTGCACTCGATGTGCCATCCTGGTCTTCCTGGACCCCAAGGGCTCTCCCAACTTGGTTCACCAGATTTTGCAGCCTGCATAAAAATTTCAGCATAAACTCCAACTGCTCTAGTTTGATGACTCAGATAAGAATTCAACAAAAAGAATTTACTTGTCAAACGTTCCATAATGCAAAGTCGGCAGGATTGCGCTTCCTTGAGTCAACAGCAACACGCTTACCAGCTTGAGTATGATCCAACCGTTGCCCAGATAATTGACCGTAACTCGGTGACTTATCCACTGAGAAGAACACATCTCCACCCACTGCATAGCCACATCCGTTTTCAATGATCTGTAGCAAGGAAGCATATCAATCACAAACCTTACTGAGAATTATAATATCATTATACCACCATCTTTTAACAAAGAACACTGAAGGAAACCAAATAAGAAGGAAGAAGACAGCAAACCTTTTCAATCATCTTAATAATGTGCTCCATATGGTCACTGACACGAGGCTGGCGGGTGGGAATGAGGCACTGAAGAGCAGTCATATCTAGAAGATACTCCTCGCAAAAGCGATTACTCAAATCTAACGGCTTCTCCCCACACTTTTTAGCCTTTTCAATCACCTGCATATGTTAACAACCTAATCATAACCAAGGGAAAATGCCAACAAAAGGAAAGAGAACAGAACAATGTTCTCTGCAAAAAAAACCGCAAAAAAAGTGTCTGAAATGCAGAAAAGATAGCATACCTTGTCATCAACATCTGTAAAATTTCTGACATAATGAACTTCATAACCCAAGTGCCTTAAGTACCTGCATAATCAAACAGTACAACACTAGAGAGATAAATACCAACTTCAAGAAAACTCATGACTTCAATGTCTCTAAGCTTAGTACATTGCTTATCAAATCATAGAAGAAGCTAACAATAGACAAAATAGTTTCAAAATGTTCAGATTTTTTACAGAATTTCCCCTAATTTGTTACCTAGAGAAAATCAAATTCAACCACAATCCTACTGCGAAAACAATGAACTGACCTGTAAAGGAGGTCAAAAGAGACGGCGGCACGAGCGTGCCCAATATGGCTATAATCGTAGGCGGTGATGCCACAGACATACATCCCGATCTTGCCGGGATTGATCGGCTTAAAAACTTCTTTCAACTGAGTCATCGTGTTATACAATGTCAACTCCGGTTTCTCCACCTCCATCTCTCCGCCGCTTGGAATTCTCAAAAACTCCGATGATTTTTTCACTTCTCCCGGAAAAAGCTTTCACCAGCTCAAATTTTACAGGCGGAAGCGTCCTAATTCCAAAAAGAATGAATATTTGACTCTAAAAAAGAGAAAACGGAAATTGCTAAAATAGCCCTAGATTTTACTAAGATTTTCATTTTTTATTTAGAAAATTATCTATGATTTTCTGAACCCCCCCCCCAAAAAAAAAAAAAAATACATTTTCACTCTAAAAAAAGGAAAAGGGAAATTGCTAAATAATCCTAGATTTTAGTAAGATTTTCCATTTTCTATTTAGGAAATTATCTATGATTTTTTTGACTACTAAAAAATACAATTTTAGATGGCTACGAATATTTTACTCTAGTTGATGATCTCTAACAAAGAAAATCTCGTATTTAACAAAATATACACTAGTAATTAAGTAAACAAAATTGGACGCCTCATAAATCATCAGATCATTAAACACCCACGTAACCACATTAACAGTCACAGACATATTCTTCTTCTTCATTTGTGGCCCTCGTTACACATACATCAACCCCCACCACACAACCACATGATATCTTATATAAACGTATCACAATTTGCAATCTTTTTAACTTGGAATTTATGTGAAAATCACAAGATGGGTCTTAGAGCACTGCCTATTCAACACAACAGTGGATTCATCTCTACGACCAAAGTCCCGATCTCAAGAACCTCGCCGAGATTTAGCCGGAACCCTAGATGGGTCGTTGTCTCAGCAAAGCAAGAGAAAGATGATGAGAAGAAGAAGGAAGAGGAGACTTCGTTGTTTACGAAATTAACTGATGCGTTGGACTTCTCACAAGTTCGGTCGGAGAAAGACGCTGAGCTTCTCTACGAGGCTCGAGAAGCCACCAAATCTGGTGGCAAGATGACCCAAGAACAGGTTGGTCTTCTTCTTATTACCACACACTGAGTTTTGAATGATATAACCAAATTAATACTGATATTTTCTTCTTTTTTATATATATATATAAAACGTTAACATGTAAAGCTAGGGGGAATCACTCGAGTTCTAAACATGGATAGAAAATCAAACTTATGAAAAATTGAATAATCAAAATCGAAATATGTTTGATGAAATTCGTAATGATATGCAGTATGAGGCATTGAGGAGAAAAATCGGAGGGACATACAAGGACTTTTTTAAATCCTACGTTGAAGGTAAAATCTTGAGAAAAAATGATAATTTTATTTGAGATAAGCTATTTGAATTAATTGTAAATTATTGTTTCATAAATATGTTATAGTGGATGGGAAATATGTGGAGGAAGGATGGGTGGACAAAACATGTAAGATATGCAAAAAGGACACAAAGGGTGAGGCAAGACAAGTGGACAAGTTAGGGAGATATGCTCATGTCTCTTGTCTTCAAAATCCTCCCTCTGGAAATTTCTTCACCAGGCTCTTCTCTAGATGATGATCAATTTCCCAAATCATATGAATGTGTTTGCTTGTAACTAAATTATTCTTGCAGTTTTGTGCGTAATTTTGTAGAAATCGAAATTTCATTTACATTCGAAAAGAAACATCACGTCTATTGGGATCTTGTTAAACAAATAGATAGAAGATGATGTATACATTTTTGGTTTAAATGTTTTGAAGCTTTTATAATGACCCCATTTTCTAAAGATATTAAAGACTAAAAATAATGAAGAACAATCATTGTATTAGAACTTAGAAGTGTGTAACAGTTTCACGGTCGTCTTGAATTGTTTGCTCCTCTGAAACTACGACCATGTCGTCTGCAACGTTATGTTATTTGTGAGGCAATTAAGTGTTAATCGGTGTATGCTTCTGGAGCTAGCAAGCTCTTAATGGCTACAGTGATAAATTTATTAAATTGTTCGATATATATTCTTACTTTCTTTTTCACAAACCCACTTCATTTATCAGTAGATTTACTATACATGCATTTTAAACAAAGCGGTTGATATATACTTGACCATTAACGTACGTAATTTAGTAGGTTGTGCTTTATTTAGTGATGAAAATCATTGTATATATATCCCCTAACATTGTATATATGTTGATCTGATTAGTCTGTAACACAAAGAAGTCAATCTGATTAGTTTCGGTCATTAATGATGGACCAGAGCAAACTAAGCTATTTAGTTTATGGGAAGTAAAGTGATTCGAAAAAATGCAATCAAAAAGCGATATCAGGAAAAAATAATTCTCTTGCAAACATCAAACACACAAACAAAACTATGAGTCTAGTTATAAAGGCTTTTACACATACGCATGAGAAATACAACACTCAAAACTACATATTCCACTATTAGTCTTTGATCACAACAAGTAGACAATCATTCTTAATTGGTACACGCGACTCAAACATCAGTTGAAAACTCACAAGCTCACAACTTTACATATTCATCCTCCTCTAAGTCCTCTTTGATCCTCATCTCGACTATATATAATCCAGGATTTTATGTTTATACATGATATAGGGGTACGTAAACTAGGCTCGTATAATAGGCGTTTGTTAGATCTGTCTCAGCACTATATGAAGACTTTTTCAAGATTTAGGTTTAGATATGGTGAATTAAGTATTCAATCATAAGGAACGTTCGCACTCTCATTTTGGTAAATATTAAACACTTGCATGATTCTGAAAAACTATCTAGGGCAAACAAAAAAAATAGGAGAGTAAAAAGGCCAAGAAGAGAATTGCAAAGGCAAAACAAAAAGATACTAGAAAAAATACAATTTTAAGCTTTTCAGCCTCATCAGAAGCATTAAGATGTCACAGCACCGATCCTAGAAACGTATCAAACTAAGCTTAACACTTGAGTGAAGTAGGACAGCACGCTTCGTGGAAACAGAACCGCCTATTATGCTCACTAATACTCCATCGCATTAAAACATCAACTAAACTACATTGGATCAACTAGACCACATATACATATAGCAAAATAAAATACTTTCAAAAATCTTCATAATCACCATTTTCCATCGGATATATAATTATTTCAATGAGGTTTGGTTTTCGACTTACGATTAAGTGAGAACAAATAATGTTATCTTTCTCTTCCTTATTTTTCGGTAATCTAATTTTCCAGGTATTTTCCCTTAATCTTTTAGAAAAAACAAGAAATATATCTTATAGAATATAAGTAAACAGACCATTTATTCGACAATAAGGTAGCACCATAACAAAAAAGAGAGAATAAAATCATTCATATCGGGATCATCTCCACCGTCAATCTTACCATTTATCTCCACTCAAAAAAACCTTCCTTGAACCACTCCGTCAGTTAAGCAATGAGGAACAGGAAGCATCTCAAGCGGTGGAACCCCAATACTTTGGTTAACAAAAGGATGGCTCAGCAGCTCCTCTGCGGTGGCTCTATCCTCCCAATCACGCACTTTGCATTTCCTCACAAAGTCCCAAGCCATCGGTGATAGCGTCGCTGACAAGTAATCATTTCTTCCTCCTACATTAGCCCCCAACATCTCAATTACCATAACACCTAAAGACCACATATCAACCGCAGACGAAATAATTCGACGTGGCCCGACCGCCTCTGGAGCCAAATACTCCGGATTTCCCTGGAACAGAGACCCATCCAATGGATTAGGTCCATTAGGCTCCTTGGCTAAACCGAAATCAGCAAGTTTGAGTTCACAAAGCTCTCCATGAGTGTAGGTCGGGAAGATAAGTATGTTCTCTGGCATGAGATCACAGTGGACGTAACCATCTTTGTGAAGATCCTTGAGTCCTTCAAGAATCAAGAGAGTGCAGTACCCGACCACGTTCTCCGGTAATCTCCCACCGGCTTTGGTCATCATGTCTTCGAGTGAACCATGTGGTGCGATTTCCATGTAAATAGAGCAGATCTTGACATTTACCGGCATGGTTTCGTAATAGATGATAGGGCTTGTGGGTCTTACGATGTTGAAATTGATGGAGTTGAAGTGATGTAAGATCCTTAGTTCTTTCTCGAGATCCTCTGAGTATTTGCGGTGAGATGTTTTCTTAGCCATGAGTAGACCATCGGGGGTTTTCACGAGAGAGATGTAGCCATGGTGGCCTTGGCCGAGACAGCCAAGTTTTGGTAAGGTGGTCGCGTCTAACATCCACGAACTCGACGACATGGAAGTAACAAAATTTAGGGTTGATGTTTTGTTTTGTCTTTTTGTTGAGAGATTGTGAAGATTACTTCTTTCGTCGTCTGTATATAATAGACAATAATTGGTATGTAATTAAGTTGAGTTTGACTCATCAAGAAAAGCTGGCGTCAGAATCTACATATAAGTAAAAAGTAAATTGTATGTTTAATTGGAATAGGGATAACTATGAAAAAAAGGAAAACGATATGGGATGGATAATTTTTGAATAGAATAAAATATCTTTTCAAAAAACAATCCATATTTAACATATATAATAAATAAAAATATTTAATTTTCTTTTTCAGTTAAACTAGGGGAGGTCCCCGCGCCCAGCGCGGGGTTGTATGTTGATTAAGACCAGAATTAATAATTAATATTTAGGGTTATCAAGTTAGGGATATTTATTGAATTAATTTTGTCAAGAGTCTAATTTTTATAACGACATTAATATAGAATTATGGTAAAACGCTATAACTTTTGATATATATTATTAGTAATCAACAATTAATAGTGTTTTTGAATCACAAACAATTATTAATGTTTATATCTTGATATATATAATAGAATTAAATATAAAAAATCTATATATTTAAACCAACAATATATTAGCAACGCCCCGACCGCCACTTTCCATGGGTTCCCACGTCCAGTCTCGGTCTTTAGGCCCATCTTCTTTGTTTTGTCGTACTCTTGATTTTATGACATATTCATGCTTACTCGTTTCTTTCATATTAGCAACGCCCCGACCGCCACTGTCCGTGGGCTCCCCACGTCCAATTTCGGTCTTTAGGCCCATCTTCTTTGTTTTGTCGTACTCTTGATTTTATGACATATTCATGCTTACTCGTTTCTTTCATATTTGTAATGCCACAACCGCTACTGTCTGTGGGTTTCCACGTCCAGTTTCGTTCTTTGAGCACATCTTCTTGGTTTTGTAGTACTCTTGGTTTTATGACATATTCACGCTTCCTCGTTTCTTTCATATTTGTAACGCTCCGACCGCCACTGTCCGTGGGTTCCCCACGTCCAGTTTCGGACTTTAATTTGGGCCCATCTTCCTGGTTTTTGTTGTATTCTTGATTTTATGACATATTCATGCTTTTAGATTGTATGTCACTGGAGTTTTTCGTAGTTGGAAACAAATAATTGAAAAATATAATCTCTTACCATATCTCTTACCTATCAAGTAAGTCATCTTGCTCTTTGAAGTAGTTATGTACGTAAAATTTCAATGGTATAGAAACATGCATCTCCTTTGTATATATCGTGTCATATTTATCGTCCCTATTGTAGTATCTTTGTCTCTACCTTCGCCATTGGTCGCTGCGTAACCCTTCAGTTGATCTCTTGTTTATAAAACCCATATAAAAAGTTGTAAGAGAAATATCATTTTCTTAACTGTATCGTATATGTATTTGTAGTATATTGATCTGAGATTGCAAAGATGTATGCCTATCAAGAAGCTCTTAGCAAAGTAAACACTGAAGATAGGTACTAAAAATGAGAGGGTTACAGAGAGCAAGTATCTATCCCTTAGAAACCACTATGTGCAACTGAGAATAATTCATATATGTACATACATACACATGTATACAACGTATTGAAGCTTTTAAATTTAAATATCGAATGCTACAAAACTGGAAATTGCTTGTGGAGAAAGCAATATGAACATGGCCACATATATAACAAATAACCGATTATGCTTGTCGTAGATCATTCTCTTTCAAACCAAAAGTTTTACCTAAACAACATATCAAGTGACTCACAAGAGATACATAAGAGCCATATCCTAAAAATATCCGGCAAAGCAAAAACGCTCCAGGTTCGAGAAGGAAGTCATTGGAAAATTTGAGTATATACCAAACTGGAGAGTAATTCGGCTATAAAGAGAGATGTGTTGGCTTTGAAGAAAAAGCTATGTGATGCTCTACCTTTTATTTATGAATTTTATGCTATGAATATATGTTTTTGTTAGGGTTCAACTTCAGTCTCCGGATTAGAGACTTATATTCATCCGACAAACAATTCGATGTCACAATCAACGCTACAAAATTGGTGGGTTCTCTCTATTAACAAACAAAAAAAAATTCTAGGGTATATATATTTTTTTTGTTTTGTTAGATCTATACGACGAAGAACATGACGAAGAACACCAAAAATTCTCATCAATCCGGTACGTTTGATCTTATTTTTATTAGTTTAACAATTACGGTTATGTCCGAATCTGAAATAACCATGGCTCCAGACTCCTTCACACCATGGCCACATATCACCGGAGTGGAGACGATTTCAAATTCGGAGCTTCTCTTCGCATATAAAATCATACATATGGTCTCTTTGTTTCGGGTTCCCTCTACAATAATTAGTACATATTTCAAAACTGAGCTACAAAAGAGCACATTGGATTTTGGTAAACATCAAGATTGCTTCCTACCTTCCAAGAAACATGATAGACTAATTCACATCCAAGACCAAACATTAGCCACATAAAGCCTGAATCAAATTAAACGATCTTAGGATGCTTTTCATAATCCGTAAGTTAAAGAGACTTGCATTAAAATTGCAAATTAGACTCTAGAGGTGCACAATGGTTAATCAGAGTGTATCAAAGACGACGAATAAAGCATGAATTAGAATATCAGCAGAGGAAGCACACAAATATTCAATAAACGTAATCAATCACTGAGAATAGCATGGACCCAACTTTTGAAAGATTCATAAAAAAGGAAGATTTTTCCTATGCAACAATATTCAAACAATGAGAAGATCAATGATTGATGACTAACCATACAACCGAAGCAAAGCCATAAACAGAAACGAAAGTACTAAAGAGCCACAACAGCAGTGATACGACATTTGTTTCCTCGCACTGGAAACAATGACGTGCTTCCATAAATCCAATCTAGTTTTTATGGAAAACAAACCTGCATTCATAATAAACACTACTATTAATTATTATTTTTTATGCAAGAATTAAATGGCAGTATAAAAAATTCAATGGTTAGTGCCGAAAAAAAAAGCAAGGATTAGTTATGATATCAAATCAAAATTAAATATCAAGCAAGGTATTTACATAAAATTAAGGCAGTGGAGGATCTAAGAATTTTTTATATGACAATATCTACAACTAAACAAAGAAAATTTATATATTTTTAAAACAGAATCATTATTTGTTTTTTGGTAAGATTAAAACCGAATCATTATCATATTAGTAAAATTATCATTTATTTATTATTATCCACGTTAATTTAAAAGTTTAAGAGAATATCTGCTTTTTTCTCATAAAAGGATGGGATAATAACATAACTCTTTTAGATTTATAACTATATTTGACATTATCATATTAAATCTATTAAGATAAATATATTTCTTTTTGAAAAATATAAATAAAATGATAATATAATTATTATAGATTTACAATTATATTATTATCCATGTCAAAATTTTAAAACATTTTACTTTTTTCTCACATAGGAAGATAGAACAATAACGTAACAGTTTAAGATTTACAACATAAAAATAATATCAGAATTGGAACGCCAAATCATAATCAACACAATTAACACAACTCTAATGGGAAATTAGAGTTATCTTGTGATTAAAATACTAAACAAACAAAACAAACCGAAACAAAACAAAAGTCTTCCTTTCAAAATCATTAACGTGACGGATTGCTGACTGATTAAGTTGAAGTTTTAGGCATTTAAAGATCTAGAAAGATGATTAAGGTTAAACATTTTTATTTATTTTAAACAACGTTTGAATGTTGACAAAAAAAGAAGAAGAGAGTGTTGGGACCATCGGGAGAGACAACGTTGAGCAGCTGCGAAAGAAGCCAACGTTGTCTATTATGTTCCTCACAGTGTTTGATTTGACTTTTGATGACATTACACTCCTGTCCACTTGTTGTCTCGAAAGTTCATGCAATGGAAAATTATTAAACAAAACAATTTACTTTTATGTATAAATCCTAGGGAAGAACCGATCAAGCTAAGATCAATGGTTGTGGTTTTAGTACCGTATACTTCTCAAATATACCCGTTGAATAACGGAAATCCGCAAGACGGGGAGGAGACGAAGTCAACCTAGCTGGCAAAGGAGCTAGCCCAGCTCCTTTGGTCTTATTTATGGTCATATGTATTTAGCAAAATATGGTATACAAACCGAACCAATCAACAACAAAACCTGGTTTTAAATTGTTGTATATTTCTCAAAAGTCAAAACCCATAATAACCAATGGAACAGAAGAAGCTAATGCAGAGCATACTTACGCTTGGAGTAAAGAGTGATGCAAGCTTCCATTGGCACACCCGAAAACGCATCAGAGCATGGAAAGAAACCTAAAAACCAATAAATTAAACAATAATTAAATCTTAGTGCATGTAAAACGAATCCTATACATACCAAAGTCCGAATCTCAGTGCCTTAGAATGACCTCGATACCAAAAACTTTAAGTTACTACTTCCATATATGTAATATTTTAGTTTGGGGAGAGAGATTGGCAACGAAGAGTAATTCCTGAATTTAACAGCCAAGTTTGTTATCCCTAATCTAAAGAGAGGAATACTTAAATTGTATTAACGACAAAAATTAGCCTCCTCTGAAGATTCATCCCTGAAATAAGTCATCTTTCTGACTTTGTAGCAACTGTGTTATCAAAAGTTGAGTGTTTCTTCTGAGAAAAGACATATTTGAAAATAATAAGAACATGTACCTCAACAAAATCGGGAGGTACCTCATCTTTTTACAACAAAAAGAAACATACCAAACCATCGATGATTACCTTCTCAAAAGTTGAAACCAAACTTTTTGATTATAAAAATTGATTAGTGGTGAAAATAGTGAAACCATAAATACAAAAAAAAAAAAAATCAAATTTGTACATATAAACTATAAGATCACCTGTTTATTCATTGAATTAGGTCCAAATTTTCCATACACCAGTTCACATCGTCCCCTCCATACATCCACCCTACAATAAAAAGAAAAATTAAAATTAGGTAGAAGCAAAAAAAAGTTTGAAAAAAAGAACAAAAAAACAAGGGTTAGTTATGATCTAAAATTGAATATCATGAGCAAGGTATTTATATTGAATAGGAGGCGGTGCATGATTTAGAGTTTCTAAATTTTTCGACGATAAATACAAAAAAGGAAAAGAAAATTTACATATTTTAATAAGCAAATCACTATCATAATAATAAATATTTGTAAAACTACCATTTATTCATTGTTATCCATGTTTATTTAAAATAATATTTACTTTTTTCGGTAAAAATATGGAATAATAACAACTATTTTAGATTTACTACTATATCTGATACTATCTTATAAAATATATTAAAATTTAAGAGAAAATTCCTTTCTGTTTCAAAAATAAGGCGGAACAATAATATAATTTTTGATTTACAATAGATAGACATGCATGTTTTTGTCAGGGTTCAAGTCAATCTCCATATTTTTTTCCAAAACTCGATCTAATTGCTATTATGTGCAAAAATCACCGCCGTTCACGTTCATGTTCACGTTAGCACTCCATACCTTAATTCACATGTAAACCTCTCTGCCTATCTCTGACTTCAGCTCTCTCATCTTCGAGTCTCCCCAAGAAAGTTTTGACACCACACCAACATTTCATTCGTCAAAATTAAATCGAGTTTGCACAAGGTTACAACCGATTAATAGGTGGTCTTCTACCTTCTATTTACGATTTTATGCTATGAATATATGTTTTTGTCAGGGTTCAAGTCAATCTCCGGATTAGAGACTTATAATCATCCGACGAACAATACGATGGCGTGATAACCGTTTCTAAATTGGTGGGTTCTCTTTCATTGATCTACATATTATTTTTTTGTTCGTTTTTTTTTCCAAATATTTAGATTGAAACGACGACGAACACGACGATCATACCAAAAATTTCATCTATTCCGGTACGTTTGATCTTTATTTTAATTAGTTTAACAATTAATAGCCGTTTACGATTAATTTCGGATATCTAAATCTTATTAATTTGAGTAAGGTTAGAATAGTATTCTTTTATGTTTATATTAATGCTCCGATTAATAATTTTCGGATATTTGACATTATCATCTTAAATATATCAATATTATAATAAATATTTTCCTTTGCCGATTTTTTTTTTTTGGTATAATTTCTTTTCCGATAAATTATGAAACAGATCTGTTTACATAAAAGGTAAAAAAGAAAAAAAAAAAAAAAAAAAAAAAAAAAAAAAAAAAACCATCAACCGTCTCCATTCACACGTTTCTTCATTATGATCACGAATTCACGTTCATGGAAGCTTCATCATACATTAACACTTACAAGTTTCTTCGTCGAGTTTTTATCCAAGGTTTCTTCGTCAACTCTGTATCCAAGGTAATAAATATTTGTTCTTTTCATTGGTTAGAATTATAGGGTGCAGGATAGTATTGACGTCTTAAAGACATAACATGGGCAAGATACTATGAGAAGCTTGACTATTCTGTTATTAGATCTCTGTTATTGCTATGAATATATGCTTTATGTTAGGATTTCAAGTTTTGCCTTCGTTTAGAAGAATTATATTCACACGACGAAGAACACGATGAATTCAATTAAAGCTTCCTAACTGGTACTTCGTTGTTCCTTTTTTTTTTTTGGTTAATTATCATGTTTATTGTTTCCAAAATTATTTTTTCCTGGTTAATTCCGAAATTCAATTTACTTTTTCCAAAATTAATTAGATTTCATTAAGGGTAATTAAGTAATTACGTAAAATCAATGACTCAACAAGAGCCGAGAGTCCGACACGTCAGCAAAAACACTTCTCAAATATTATTATATATAGATACAGAGAATATAATTAGGATTTTGGAAAAGAAAAATTATGCTCTCAAATGAATATTAAATCATATCTTACAAAACATGTTTCTATATATATTTTACGTATAAAAACGTTTCTATGTTTTACGTAATTTGATATATGTTGCGATATATATATTACGTAAAAAATGTTTCTATATTTTACATAATTTGATAATTATTTAAAAAGAAATAACAGAAAGGTTTGTATTTGTGATGTAAGTAATTAAGACCAGAAACAAAAGGTGTAATATTACATTAATTGTTGTTATTTATTAAAAGACTTTATGGTCTACAAAACCATCCTTCGTAATGTTTTTGTTATATTAGCTACTTTGAAAGAGAGAGAGTTAGATTCGGCATTTCTTCATGAGAACATACATTGTTGTTATTCTTATTCTCTTTCTATATAGCATCCGTTGCAGGTAGCTTTGCAGCTACATGGTAGTACAACTCAGTGGCAAATACCTAACCTGGCATCTTAATTACTTCTACTCCAGACTCTAGTCGTTTAATGTAGATGCAACATATTTATGTGCCAATCCGATGTTCCATTTGAGAATGAAACATCATGTCCTCGAATATCACTTCGCTGGGATTCTAATAACTTCAAAAAACACTTCGAGTTGCTTGTCTTTCATCTAAAGACCAACTCGTCGATGCCTTGACAAATCCACTGGCTCGTGAACCTTTTTCAAACATTTTTTCCAAGAGTGTGAAGTCATATGTGTATTTGTAGGTAGAAAAAATCCTAGTCTCTGATGTATAGATATGTTCTCTCAAAAGTAATACAATTATCGTTCAATACTAGTTCCATATGGCACACACACCCTTGACTCTTCACTCTTCAGCCTGCTCTCTCGAGTCTGTTCTCTTAACACAAATCAACTTGGTTTTAGTCCAGCATCCAAATTAAGCAATGGTTTGTATGTTCCATGAAAAATACCGTTTATAGCTACTTGGGATCATTTTTTTTTTTTTTTTTGCAAAGAACGTAAAAATTTATTGAAAATGAAAATGTTTTAAGTTTTATATATTTTCTAACCTATATAATTGGTCCCATGACCAAAAAATTTTAAAACATGAAATTTCAGAATATGTTGTTGCTTCCATATTTTTATACTTGTGATCGTCTTTCCTCCTAGGGGGTCGCTACATTAAGAGAACGAAACGCATGATTGTCTTTTTCTCTTGCACTTTTTGTGACTCAATCTGAAGGTTCGTCACAAATCTCGCTGGTCTCGATCTTCCTTCAAGCCTCCACATTCTGCTTGTATGGATCAACACATGCTCTCCAAACTCACAAATTGTTCTCATGGAAATTAAACGGCTAGCTAGATAGCTACAGGGTATTTATTAGTGGCCATTCATTTTTGGCTACAGCTGTTTTTTTGGTCGTTGATAAATATGAAGTTGCTAACCTACTTTACAATATATAAACATATCATATTCATACAAACTAGTAACTACCAATTCCATCAAATCTTTCTCCATTGCAAAGCACTTAATAAATTAGGGGAGAAAATATTGGAAAAGTATTCGTAATCGAAGCTTCATTTAATAGCCAGAAAAAATGACTTGCCTTTTGAGATCACCTTTAGAGGTAATGTGGGAATTGGGATGAACGAAACATAGGTTGAGAATAATATTCTAACACATTGATAATGATTCTATATGCTACTTATCAAACTTTATTCCGATTTGAATTTATACGTATATTCCATCTTTGAACCGAAAATCCCATCCACGTCTAGAGAGATCTCGTTATCTTCCCTTCTCCATATGGTTTAGCCTGAAACTTGTCTGCACGTGTGCCCACATTAATAAACATCTTGCATATTATAGCATCAATATATCTAACTTATCAGCATCATATATATAAGAGTATTATGTCTATAGAAGGTATTAAAGAATGATATTAAGGATGGTTGCATACCGGTACCATGCTCGGAGCGACTCGATCCGTCGAGGCGGACGCGGTGGTCCGGTCGCCATGCCATGGACCCATCGATGGATCTTTCTAAAGATCGATATTGGCCAATTTATTGACTACTTTGAACAAGGAGATCTTCCCTTCTTTTTTTTTCCTTTCTATGAGGTTGATCTGGATCTTTGTGTACTATACATCCTTTCCGTTTTATAAGCAAAGCAGAAGTTTTTTTTATATATTTTATAACATACTAAAATGGATCCAAAAGCTACAACATTTAATGTTTAGGAGAAACAAAATCAATAAATATAAAGACGTTGTCTTTTTGGATTATTGACACGAAACGAGAGCAAAGCAACCTAATTTTAAAAAGTACCAAACGTACCGTCGGATAGTTGACACTTGGAAAAGACTATCCCACGGTGTTGGGAGTGGCACATTTTAGCCTGAGACAATGATTTTGCTAACCCACGCCGCTCTTAATTTTCCAACTTTATTTTTTGAATTATTTGTTTACTCAGTTTTTTTCTTCTTTCTTTGGTTTCGAATTGGTCCCACTTCCTAGCCAATACGAGGGTTCCAGACGAAATCTTTGTTGTGAAGACTGAAACACGTGGCATTTAGTTATTGGATAGTTTTAGATTGCCTTAAAAGTCTTGGCCACGTCATCATTCTGAATCTGACCACTCCAAAATCGTAAATAGTGTGTTTCTTTTTTATTCTCCGTAGTGCAATCTGAATGTTTCAGACTTTCAGTTTCTATTTTGAGAATCTAGAAAGAAACTTTGTAAAGACCAAAGTTATAAAAAAATATACATAGTTGAGGTACTGATTATGGATCACCTAATTTGCTAATCTACACTTTAAATGCAGTAGTTAAGACTCATAAAACAATGAAAATGCCCACCACCTAAATCATATGATCAGTGCCCTTCACTAACTACTCCCATAATTAATTATGATTACTAGAAGCTTTAATTTTTATAATGTTTTTCTTTTCGTCACATTTGAGTCAAAAAAAAAACACGTTCACTCTAATCATCTGGGGTTTGTTTAAGATAGAAGCAACAACACCTATCAATGATCAAACAATAAAAAAAAAAAAAAAAAACAGGAATTGAAATGTGCAAAACATGTTTTTAAAAGCTGGGTTTTTTAGCTTACTCTGTTTCTCCAATGGAATCTTGATGTGTTTGTATGAACCTAAACTTTCTTCTCGGCGTGACCAACTGTTTCTCGTCTTTTCGGTTAAGAACATTATTACCCATTGAGACGTTACGTTTCAGCATTGGCTCAAGGAGATCGATCAGTGGCTCGTGCTGATTCACATGGCTCAAGAAGGAGCGTTGAGGAAAGCTGTCTCTTTTCATCGAGTGTTTTGCTCCAACAGCTTTCTGGTCTTTCCATGACTCTATGTTCCATTGGCGAAACGCATCTTGTGCTTCAAGTTGCTTCGTATTGGCGACTTCTACCCGGTTTAACGCCATCTCCAAAGCTTTTTTACTTTGTTTAACTTCTTCATTAGCTTCCTCCAGCTTCCTCAAGATCTCTATTCTTGAGACATTGGCGGATAATTCTTTGTTCATCTGTGCTTTAAGTGTTAATGGAAAACATGGTGGCTCCGGGAAGCAGAATGTGTCTTCGTTTTTTACGCTGGATAATATGGTCATTTCAGCAATCGCAAATGCTTCCGCTGCTCGTGCAGCCTCTTCCATTTTTCTTGCAGCAACCAATCTCATTTCTGCAGTTCTCAGGCAAGTCTTGCTCTGTTTATGAAAAGCTGTATCATTGGTTTCAACTACCATCTTAATCTGTTCACATTGTGGGTTCACAAGTAAATTCTCGGTATTGAACCTCTCTCCTTCATCAGGACCTGCTGGGTTAAACCTCAAACTGTTAAGCTCCTCAGCTAGAGACACTACTCCAAAGACATCTTTCTCTTCCTTCGTTTTTATATTCAGAGATTCAGAATAGGATTGGATTAACGCAAGATCATCCATGGTTTTACCAATATTCATACTTGCTTGCTTCAATTCCAAGAGGGTCAGATCTGGCGAGCGTTCATCGATCATCTCTTTGATGTGTGAACGCAAATGTTGAGGGGTCTCCTTGCATCTAAGTGCTTGTTGCTGGAGCTGCCACTTCAAATCTTCAACAATGCTTTTGGTTGATCCAAGAGCTTCAAGAAGATCTAGTGTTTCTAACTCTTTCATAATCAGATCCTTCTCAAGCTCCACTGTCTGTTCTTTCATCCTCTTTATGTCAAAATCTCCCACACCGTCCTGAAGAATGACAAACCAACAAACCTAAGAAAAATTATCATGTCTAATGCTATATGTTTCTGACACCAAAACGAATCTTACATAACATCTTGCTAGTTCCGCATTATGCATACACCGATTATCAGTTAATTGCCTCACAAAGTAAAACATAAACATTAAGTTTCAGACATGGGCGTTGATAACGTTTTCAGGCTTATCTCAGTGACAACTGACAACGCAAAAAATTCAAGACGACCTTGCAAGTTGCAACTGTCGACATTTTTAACACAAAAATGTCCATTGTGATAGATCACTACGCAAAATAAACTTAGTGTCAGCATAAAACCTCACCAAATCGAATTAGCTATCAATTATTAGCATACATGACAGTTAAAGAACATACATTTCAAACTTTCAATGACATTAATACTCACAGATGCATCGTACTAGAAGAAATGAAGAGACTTTGCAAATCAAAAATTAGAAGAGAACTCACGTAGTTGTTTCCAAGATTGAACGGAACCCGAGACCCACGACCACCAAATAACGGTGAATAAATGTCGATTTCAGCTCTCAGTCCTCCTCTCCTTGTACTCTCCGGGTTGAAATTCTGGGACCCGGATCCGGTTCTCACCTCCCGGATTACGGGTGTACCGGGAATCGTCTCCGCCGCAGGGTTTTGATGCATCTCCGCCATCTCTGCGCTCTGGAGAACCAACTGGTGTGTACACTTGAAAGGGAAAGATAATTAAAGAGGGATCCATTACAGTAATCATAGATACTGCCCAGAAGCAAACAAGATTGAGAGCTTCTCTATAATTATGTTTTCTCGGTAATGAAAGTCACGACGTCTCGAACAACAACAACAACAATGAAGCGCCTTTGATGATGATGCTGCTAATGGGTGTATCGAGGTGGCTTGTGTTCATTGGTTCTCTGGTTCCTTAATAAATAAATACCAAGCTTGGGCCGTTGATTAAGGAAGCGATATTGGGCCGTTGGTACGAAATTCGTCTCAAATCATGGAACAAACTTTTTTTTTGAGTTGTTTTATTTTATATCCGAAAATTGTCATAATTTCCCCATGCAATATTAGTGTATAGTAAATGTATGCGTGAAATAAATAGGTGGAGCTTTCCCTTATAGTTTTCTAACCAATTTGTGTGGCCATCGCATTAATTAAAAGCAAATTCCGAGTAGAGGAGAGAACGGACCACGTACGAATACGATTGGAAACGATCAATAAATAATTATACGGCCTCTCTCACTCAACCGTCCAAAATCCAAATTCATCACCGTCGTCTTTCGATTCTACACGTTTCTATTTAGTTTCCCGCATACGTATCTTCCAACTAATTAGAACCGACAAAATACCTTTTCTAATTACTATTGTTAAGAGTTACCAGTTAGCACTAGAAATTGCTTTGTTCTGAGTATATATAGTTCCATTTTATATCCTATACCTAAATTTTCATTGAATGTAACTACCATATCTTTTTTGGATGCATGCCCAAACTTTTGCTCTGAGTAGTTCCATATTACGACAAACAAGGTTTTAAAGTAGTCTTAGTATCTTGTATGATTAAAACGTGTGGATTAGTTTAGTCAATAATTAGTTCCTTAATAATAAGAACACCAAATAAAAAGGTTTATAGAAGGGAATCCCGCAAAAGGTTTAATATTTATATTAAATACTCTAAGCAATGTATACTACAGTAACAGTTTACCAATAATGTGATCCCCACGACTCTCTTATAATTAATGAAAACGCATTAAGTAATGCATACAGTAAGATAGCCACCTTTCATTTATTATCTAACCATTTTTTTTCCCCTATGTATTATCTTCCATATACTTGTAATATGCTCATCCATATGAAATTTTCCGATAGAATAAAAAGAACAGAATAAATATCCACGATCATATATACAACCGTGCAAAGAAGATTCTTTTGTTTCATAGCTTGTTTTACTCACAAAACATATTACTCTTTCTCACCTCTAAAGAAGCTTCGAAACTAGCACTTCCTGTTTCCATTTTTCGTACTTCAATTCTGATAAAAAGCTGACTCAAACATAGACACGGAGTTTGAAGAATACAAAGTTCATTGGGGAATAATAAATGTCAGAAAGAATAGAAGATGACTTTGCAATCGATGAAGAGATATCCTCCTACTATGGCGGAGCCTCCATACCATTCATATGGGAGTCAAGGCCAGGAACACCCAAAAACCACCTCTGCTCCGATTCCTCTCTTCCTCCGCCCCTCACGCCGCCTCCGTCGTACTACTCTTCCGAGATTTTGTCGACACCGAAGAGACAAAGCAAGGTGAGATCAAAACTAAGTAAGTTTCTGTCCATGTCCATGTTCAGCGATCTCAGGAGGAGCAATCACGGTAGCAAGAAGACGACCAGCTCATCGTTTTCTTGGTCTTCTACGTCATCTTCATCTTCCTTTTCCTCCTCGCCACCACATTCTTTGAAAAAACGAGCGAGTCATGACAAAAAATCACCACTTCTGTACGCGAACTACGGAGAGGATGAGCTTAGGTCGTCACCAACCTCGACTCTGCGTTACTCCAAGGGGGGGCGAATTGGGTGTAGTTCTTCAATGGGGAATCTGACAAGAGCTCTGTTCCCTGGATCAATGGAGAATATGAAGAGAAACGGGACCACTGGTAAAGCTCTAATCATCAGCGACATGAATAAAGCTTGATTATGTGAATCTATTGAGTGCTTGATTCTTTCTATGAGCTGCTTCACCTCATTGAACAGAGTGTTATAGTGCTTGATGTGTGAATGTAACTGTATGACGTATATATATAGTTTGTCTCTCTCAGTCGTGGCCTTAACCGTGTGTTGTGGACACTGGACAGGCTTTTTCGTCAATTCATGTCTATCTAGAACCAAGAACGTTCTCCCACTGAAACGATGTTAAATATTATAAACCGATAGATCTTTTGTATACACACAGATTGGCTTGTCATGTGTACTAAGTGACCAGTGAAACATTTCCTGTGAGAATACTCCTTAGCTATACAGTGAACACGAACGGGTTATGGTGTCTCTATGATATCCTTAAGATTGTTATCTCTTCTTACTTAGTCTGAGTCGCTATTAGATACCTCTTCTATGGGCAGCTCAAATGCATCAATCTCTGCAAAATAAGCTTTCTGCTTCTCGATATAATCCTGACAAGCTGCATTAACCGGATCCTTTTTCTCTGGCTTTAACGTCCGCTGTCTCTGTAATGTAACCACAGATACAGTATTAGATTTGGAGCAAACTTATATGGTACCAATAAGTGTAGGCTCTACAGTGGAACAACGAGAGATACAAGTTGCATATCTCTCAAAACAGCAATTCCACTGTATCTCATGACAATATTCTGAATCCACCTTTTTAAAAGAGAAGAATATACACGAAACTGAACAACTAGACAATTCACTTCAAACTATGCGTAGCACTGGTTTTCAGAAATGTGGCAGAAGAACGTGGTGAACAACCAATGTTAAACATACAAATGCACTTATACAATTTGCTAGAGCCGAAAAACCGATAGATCAAATATATTGACTACTTTTTCGCAGAAAGATGATAACAACACATGATTAGTACAGTTCTGATAAGTATACAGCCAGAGCTTTCCTGAATTCACCTTTTTTGGAGCCACTTTCAAGGTCGTCTTCTTTTTGTTTTCACTTGCTTGATGTGTTTTCTTCCTGTGATACAAATTTCAAAGAGAATTAACTAACAACAACATAGTTGATCATAAACAGTCCACAAAATGCTAAACAAATTTGAAAAACCTGATAAGTTCAACACTACCACAAGTTATATCATCTAGTATTTCTTAGTGACAAGATTTTTTCAAAAGAACAGGCATCAACAAATTAGTTAGCAAGTACTATCTTCTATCCTGATTCCATATGTCCATTAGTACTATTAGTCAAGCCAAATCTAATTTTCCCAAAACTCAACAATAATATATGATCGAATGGGTTTCATACCGAGAGCTTGATGTCAAGTCGAGACGAAGGCGAGCTGCTGCACTAGTAGAGGAAGAAGCGTCTTTACTCCTTTTTTGTCCAGAGGCCTTCCTTCTTACCGTGTAAACAGACCAAGGCTCAGCAAAATCATCCTTGTCACTAACGCCTAAGTAAAGACAGTTCTTAAATATCAGCCAAAGATAGACACAGAACCAATTTTGCAAAATTACCAATTATAAATCAACAGAGATTGACAACTATATTTCAAAATTTGAAGTGTCCCAATTAGTTCTCTTCCACTATAACATGAAACGTGATAAATTCAAGCATTAATCTAACCCTTCCTCCAATTAATTCCTAAAAATACCCAAAACCCGAAATCTAAAACCCTAGAGTTGCGCACAAATTCAATTCAGATGAAATTCCTTAAAATTGATACAGTATAACCAAATTGGAACAAAATAATCGCAGCTAAATCAATTACCCATATCAGATCGCGATGTTTGGGGACGAGAAGGAGCAGAGGCCGGAGAACCCAGATCGGCAGACATACGGCGAGTTACGGGTCTAACGTTCGTGGCAAGAGACCGAGAAGCGCTCTCAGAAGTAGTCTCTGAAGTAATAACATCTTTGGGTTTCTCCTTGAGCGTAGTTTGTTCTACTATCCTCTTAAGTGAAGAAGTGAGACTCGGATTCGCGAATTTGACTGAAGAAGATGACTGTTGAGAAGATCTGGAGACGGTGTTGGTACAATCCGCGAGCGGTTTCCTCTGTATTCTTCCTCCGACGGAGCGAGGAGCTTCCATTTGCTTACCCGGCGTCGGAAACTTCGGATGATTCATCTGAGGTTTTGGGGGAGAAGATTCTCTACTCTCGCAGTTGGCGGGAATGTAGAAAAAGCTCGAAAAGGAGGAGAAGATTTCTGAAGAAGGCTCGAGAGAGCTTGAGGCGATAATAATTGAGGGAGGATTTAACAGAAGCCCAAATTGGGAAAGTATCATTGGGCCCATTTTTTATTTTATCAACTGGGCCCATATTTTTTTTGACAGCACTGGGCCCATATATATTATAATATTTTATCTTTTGGATGTATATTCTACCTTTTTTGAACTTTATGAGATGTAGGGATCAACAAAATTATTTGAAATATTTGTTTCTTTTCTTTTTGTAAGGATAATATTAAATAAAAACTCTTAGATTGTATAGAGGGGAACTGGTTTTTAGAAGTGGGAACAAAGTTCAGTATTAGAGCATTATAGAGCAATTGGGGGCAATTTAGATCAATTGATCAAAAGACTCTTGCGTGTTGTTGACCAATCCAAAAGGAATTGCAACTTTAGGTGAGTGTGATGTGAGGCTTAAATCTTTGATCACCAACTAGACAAAGTATGATTCAGCATTGTATGATGCACGTAACTTCAATAACGATATTGAGGCCTACGGATTTGATTATGACAAATGCAATTTCGCGTTGCGTTGGTGCCAATATAAGAGAATCTTACATTTCAAGTCATGTGATACACTAAGATTGCGATCGTAACCAAATGAGTAAATCCATATTTCAAGCTAAACGCATTAAAACCAAAAAAGAAGAAGAAGCTAAACGCATTATTGGAAGATATATGCTGATATGTTTTTTCATGGACGTCGCATAGGAAGGCACAATGGAAAAAATGATAATCTTAACTTACAACAGTGTCTCACAGCCACCATAGAGACAAAAACATTTGGGAATCCTTATAAGAAACCATATTACTCGAGTCTCATTCCTATGATCACTCAAGTAGGATTCCGAAAAACGGAACACATCGATTTTTAGCCCAATAAAATATATATATATCAATAATGTATTGATGTCATGATCGATTCTGAAATATTAATTACTGGTAACAGAATGATTTAGTTCGGCTTACCATTCCAAAATCTACATGTATAAATACATGATATTTTTCTTATAGATTGATACATACCATATTTGTTTTTCTTGTACATGATATTCTTTAGAAACCTTGAAAAATAAAATATTAGTATAAAATAGTTTTTTATAAGTTCATAGTCAAAATAATAGTATAAGTAAACTTTGAATGACATGTAAAAATTAGGTACTTGGTACTGCAACAAAACATGTGTAGTACAAGAAGAAGAACCTCATCTAATTCTTTGTACTTGTACTTTCCGTTAGTGGATTTTAAAGTTGGTAAGCTTTATTTCCACAGCAGGTATAACTAACCTTCCTAAAACCTTTATACTTTTATTGGAATATGGTAAATACACTAATCCATAATGTTCTCGTTTCCTTTACGCTAACTTCTCCGAATCTTTGCTTTTCCGTTACTATAAATACTTAAGAAGACACCATTTCTTCTCATTCAACAAACAGACATCTCATTCCCTTATTCAGATCATCGGTCTCAAAGCTTAGTCGTTTCCTTTCTTCTTATATATTCTAGCCATGGCTCAGGTAATTTTCTGACTTTGATCTTTTTCTCCATATCTTGGGTTTACGTCTGGTTCTTGGCCATGGTACGATGGAATACTGTTTTTGAGAGACATTGATCTGGAAGCAGGAACGTCTTTTTGTGCCATTTCCAAAAAGATGCTAACAATTGTTCTAAGATAGAAGCGGATGTCTAAATCGGTCGACTAATCGGTTCTAAGCATCCGATTACTCAGTTTTTATGATAAGAAATATTTTGGAATTCATTAACATAAAATTGCAAAAGAGGAAAAAATGAGATTGATTGGTCTAGGTTCTATCTGTATATCGAATGTCCGATTAGCATTATTTTGAAATATTCATTAAAAAGGTGTTAATTAAGCTTGATCACAAAAGATAACTGTTAATTAGTGATTAAATTAGCTGTTGATATAGTATTTGTAACCGGACTGGTCCGATGGTTCTAACATTTTTGGATTACTAATAAATGCAGACCGTTGTCCTCAAAGTTGGTATGTCATGCCAAGGCTGCGTTGGTGCCGTCAATAGAGTCTTAGGCAAAATGGAAGGTAATTTTTCTCCAATCTTTTTTCATGTCTTTTCAAATACCTTCCACTAATCGTTCTTTTAGTTTAAGGATTGTCTTTTGTTGACTCTAGAATTTATTAAATAATCTCAGGGGTTGAGTCATTTGACATTGATATCAAGGAGCAAAAGGTGACAGTGAAAGGTAATGTTGAGCCTGAAGCAGTTTTCCAAACAGTTTCAAAGACTGGAAAGAAGACTTCTTACTGGCCAGTGGATGCTGAGACTGAGCCAAAAGCCGGGGCAGAGCCTAAGGCCGAGGCCGTGACTGAGACTAAAACCGAGGCTGAGACTAAGACTGAGGCTAAGGTTGATGCAAAAGCTGATGTTGAACCAAAAGCCGCAGAAGCCGAGACTAAGCCATCACAAGTTTAAGTATACTAAAGATGAGAAGGAAGGCTAATCTACCTTTACAATGCTTCTTTATCTTTTGCTTGTGACTTGTGTTGAGTGTGTTGTTGTAAGCAATGCTTTCTCTAAACACCTAATATTTTCATGTATACCTTTTTCAACCTTTGATAAGAAGATGTTGGACCCATGTTGGTCCGACTTTCTTTTATAATAAGTTTAAGTGTTTTACTTACTAATTAAATATGCGAGAATCTTAACTTTGACTTATTATAAAACTTAATCCATTCAGTTATTCAGACATCAATCTGATTATATGCAAAAACAAAATGAACCATTTTCAAGAGAAATTGTAAGATGAGCCGGCCTGAAGAATTTGGAAGTCCCAAGCAAAAGTTTTTCTGGTCTATTTATATATTTATTTATTTATTTTTTTGACAGTGGTCTATTTATTTATTTTTGTAAAAGAAGTTGGACATTAAGGAGGGATTTGAACTCCCCTCCCCTTGGTATTAGGCCCAAAACCAAATAGACTAATAACTTTCTTTTGATATATTTGTGGCCCTAAAAATACATAATATTCATGTGGATTCAAATTTGAGTTATCTTACATGAACTATATGGGTGTGATTGGTATACACTAATCTAGCTAATCCCATTGGGGAAAAAATTCGTGCTAAGATTTGGATTGCACATTTCTTACAAAATTAAGCAGATAATCCCCAAAAATAAAGTCAATTAATGTTAAAGCTATAGGAGCGACGTGCTTACACTACACATATTTGCTGTTGAATGGTTGGAAAGTCCTTTTCTTTTTTTCCCAACTTTTTACGTCTTTTAGCTTTTGAAGCTATCGATCGTGTCTCAAATCTCTATATTCTTATTTCCTCTCTAATTAATTCTTCATGAGTTAAAAGTTTACTAATTACATACGTTCAAAACATCGATCATGTACATGCGAAGCATATACAGTCCAGCATATAATAAATAAATCAATTAATAAATATGTTGAATTAGTTTCATTATCCATATTAAATTAATTAATAGTTGCATATAATATCCCATGAATGTTCCAAGTTCCAACTATACAACCCCTCAAAAGATTCCTTCATGACTTAATCATTTCATTTGCGTTGTTTTATTTATTAAATTATGCTCAACAACTCTTTGCGGAAACAATCATGTACCGAGTTGATTATTCACGAAAAAATATATTAAAAAAATGTTTTCAAGAACGTAACCAACTCTTGAACAATACTTTAACAACTTGCGTTCGAAGCAAGCAACTGCTCCTCCTTCATCTTCCTCTATTGATCTTCTTCATATTCTCAAATTTACTCCAAAAAATTGCGAGATAGAGAAATAGAGAAGAGGAAACTACAGACTATATAAGAAAATTAAATGGATTGCTCAATCTGCACCACAATGCCATCTATTTTAAGACCACCTAGGAACACAATATGTGGATCGTGCTACGAAGGGGCTAGAACCACTATCGCCCTGCTCAAGAAACTTGAGGGCTCGAAAGAAGATCATGAAAAATCGAACCATAAATCCACCGTCAATAATGGCTCCTCTCTTTCTTCTTCTCCTTTGTTTTCTTGTGAGGTAAGCTTCATATGTGTATTTGCACTTAGGCTTTAATTTGTAAGGATTTCAATTTTTGTTTAGATATCAAAATACATTAATTTATTGACTTAATGAGTTTTAACTATATATTTTTGCGAGAATTCAGCCGCAACCATTAGAGAAGGTGATCAAATGGATGAAAAACATGAAAGAAACCGAAGAAGAACAGAAGAAAAGGATAGTCTTCTTGAGCAGCTTTGTTTCGGGTTTCAAAGAACAGCTTCATGCTGATATTCTTCTAAAACCTGGCGACGATGGCCCTCCAATTCCTGCACATAGAGCTTTGCTGGTTATGTCAATTATAAGGATCTCTACTCTCTATTTTATTTTAATTTTATGGTAGGGTACTGTTTTTGTAAGATGTTGACATTCATATGAAACCATAATTTATAGAGATTTAACCATAATTTATAGGGATTTAATCAAAATTCATTAGCGTTTGATGATTATGAGTACAATTTCAAAAGTACAAATTATATAGAAAAAAAAATAACAATATTTTAACTCATGTAAACTTGTTTTTTTTCATGTCAAAAAAAAAACATGTAAACTTGAACAAAACCATTAAATTTAAATTTGTTTTCTATTTTTTTTTAATCTTAAATTAAATTTGTTTTTTAAACAAGACTTGGGTGCTTCTATATATGTAGGCTTCAAAATCTGAGATCTTCAAGAACATTCTAGACTCCGACGGATGCAAAACCGCTCCAGAATACGCGATAACGCTCCAAGAGCTGAATTCTGAGCAACTTCAAGCTCTCTTGGAGTTTCTATACACCGGCACATTGGCTTCAGACAAGTTGGAGAAACATATTTATGCATTGTTTCTTGCAGCAGATAAGTACATGATTCATTACTTGCAAGAGTTGTGCGAGCAATATATGTTGAGTTCCTTAGACATTTCTAGTGTTCTTGACGTTCTTGATGTCTCGGATCTTGGTTCAAGCACGACGCTGAAGGAGGCTTGTCTAAGATTCGTGATGCGGAACATGGACGACGTCGTTTTCTCGGATAAGTACGAAGTGTTCTCTCAGAAAAACCAACATCTATGTGTGGAGATCACAAGGGCGTTCTTGATGGAAACGAGAAGCAAGAGACGTGATTTATCAAATTAGTGAGATCTCAATGAATTTTTAGCGTAAACCTTTGTATGATTCTTTTATAGTTTGATTGATCTTTAAATTCTTAATCCTCCAAGCTAGACCATTTTTTTTTAATGGAAGGAAAGAAAGGGTTTACAAACGGCCCATATTCAGGCCCAAAAATAATACATAATAAGCTTACTAAACCAACAATTTGGGCCCATTAAACGTAACCTAGCCAAGAGTTTTAGGAGGGGTTATTGGATCATTGATTTGAATAGAATTAGAAATCCCTATCACATTTGGAAATTCACACATAATCCACTGATTTTAAAATCAAATAATGTGGATTTGAAAATCAAATAAAGTTGATTTTAGAGTCAAATAAAATGGATTTGAAAATCATAGAAAAGAGATTATAAAATTAAAACATGAAATTTTTTATGATAAACAAAATAACCTATCATGTTCTCATCTATGAACTCTGAATTGAATCACTCCACATGTTTGATGTTCTTGTTTCTCTCCACTGATTGTTCTCTCCACACATATGAGAAGATATCAAAAAGTCCATAATTAGGAAAAAAACAGTTCGTTACGATGCGGTTAAAGTGATTCACCAATTAGGGATGAAAGAAATCTTTGTTAGTATGTCTACTAATGAACGTCATGGTTGGATTAAGCTAATTATTTTTTTGTTTTCTAGTATTATTGGTTTTCTAGATTTTTTCCTCTAGTTTTGTTTGGTTTCGAAAACCTTCCTTTGTTTTCTAGTATTTTTGATTTTTATTATATGATAAAATATACTTTTATATGAAGGTGTTTCATGATCTTTTGTATTAACAGTTTTTTTTTGTGATCGATATGCTTGAAAGTATTATACGAATATGTTTCGTGATTTTTGTATTAGCAGTTTTTTTTTTCTTTTTGATATTCAAAACATTATGGAAAATAAAAACTACTAATATATATATTTTTTTTCAAATCCACTCAAATAACTAGGTGGAACCCAATGATTTCAATCTCTCTATTTATAACTAAAACAGATTTTCAAATCCATTCAAATCCAATATGAAATCAAATCCATACTCAAATCTTCAATATTGAATAAGGGGTGATTTTAACTAGTATTTGTAAATCATAGAACCAATAACACATGATTTTTATAAAGATTTTAAAATCAATGATTGAATAACACATGATTTTAGTTAGATTTCCAATTCCATTCAAATCAATGATCCAATAAACCCCCCTTAGATTTTTAAGTGGCAAAAGATTCTCGTTCCCTGAGGCGATTATTAAATCGAATCGAGAGAAAGAGAACAGAGTTGAAGAAGCTAAGTGGATAGAGTCATAGAGAGGATCTTCTTTGCCTTTGAGCGGGTCAAAATTAATCAGAGAATAGGAGGAATGGTGTCCTTTTGAATCTCCAATATGATCAAGCTATACAAGTTTTGGCATATTAGTGATAAATTAATTAACTTGAGAGATTTAATTTGATTAATCAGAGAGACATACAATTGGTTTTTTCCTTGATCATATGTCTATCAAAAGATCCCTTTTTAGGTAAAACAAATGTATAAATATATATAGAAATCAAACGAATACTTCTGATCCGGTCAAGCCTTTTGGATCATGCATGGCTATCACTCCAGGTCCTGATTGCTTCTGTCACTGCCTGTTTCACTGCTTCAGCATCCATGATGTCTCCATCATTCTGTAATTAATTATTATTTAAAAATATATATAAAATATCTGTATCATTAGTGATTATTATGATGAATTTTGGACTATATATTATATATATAGTGATGATGATAAGGAAGAACTGTGTTTACTTACATTTGATGAACCAATGGCATGTAAGCTAAATGTGTCTGTACATGAAACCCTAGCTTCAACAACATCAAGTCCAAGATCTTCAAAGGTTTCAAGAACACAAACCAACATGCCTGCCTCATTCTTCACTGACATTACCTTTATCATGAACCCGTTCTCTAGGGTTTCCACTGTAACCTACCAATACAAATTAAAGTTAATCAATGCCTATTAATATAAATACATCAATAGGTACTTTATATGTTTGTACCATAGGATTTGGATCGGAAGATTCGCGGAAAGATTGCTCAGACGTGGTCTCATTGTTGATTTTTTCTACTTTCTGCTTAAGCTTTTTGATATATTTTGATGCATCCACTATGACAGATGTTTCGCTCTCCTGAAAAACGTGTGTGCATACATATCAGTGATATAGTTCAATTTAAATACTCAAACTACAAGTTTATATACACATAGATATAGTAAATATATATATATGAATAGTAGTAGGAGCTATTTTGATTTATGATCATAGAAAAATCAAATTTAATTTTGTCGAAATAAGAAACAAAGTAAGAAAAAGAATAATGGAATGAAATTACAGCATGAGAATTAGTGATTGAACGAAGCAAATGAAACTTCTCACGCAGAGAGGAACCTCTCTTGTGTTCCCTCGAAACCATTCTTATATGTTTTAGCTTCTTCTTTCCCCCCTCTTCGGTTCTCTTCTATATATATAGAGAAAGCTAAGTGTAGATGTGTGTGTGAGAGAGAAAGAGGAAGTAGAGATCTGAGCGAAGTTTATAGGATCCACTCTCGTTTCGTCTCTCACATGTCTACCTTGTAGTCTCTCTTTATCGCTACAAAATGTGATATACGGACAAATTCAATTGGTATCTCGTGAATTACTTGATTACCACTATGTCTAATTACACGATGTTCCATATTCCATGTTTTTTTTTATACATATTTATACGCAAGAACACTTACAAGCGCGTGAAAATGTAAATAAATTAGTACATAGATTTTTTCTTCTATATACAGTAGCTTGTTGCTATATAAATATTCATTAAGTTAATTAGCAATGTATATTAAATATTTCTATGTTTTGTATTACTCAACAAATGCATCAAGAAGACAAATATTGTTCCTATAGTTGTATATAAAGTGGATAACTTAAATGTTGTAATATCCCACTATTCACAAGTCTCGAAGATTAGTGTAGATTTCGGTTCAGTATCTTCCGGTTAAATAATGGTGCATGTACATCCATCAGTTTTGAGGTGCAAATTACGATCCAATTGTGAACGTAAATAACCAAGTGTATTTTCAGGTTATTCCCTTTCCAATTTTGGTGAGTTGATTGGTATGCTTAAAATCTACATTTATTGTGCCGTAATTGGTCATGACCCTCTTCAAAGGCGTATACATGTGTGCGTATGAGTGATTCTTGAGTATATATTATATATATAATGGTAAAAACTGAAATGGGAATCATGAGCTCGTGAATGGAGGAAGAAATAAACTGTGAAATGTTTATATACATTATTAAAATAGGAGTATCGAAAGAAGTTGACGAAGAGGATAAAAGCAAACAGAAGAATGTTCGTTGTGATATTGGAATGCCTCCAAACACTCCTCACGGGGATCTTTATGAATGCCCTTCTCTCTCTCTTCTCCACATATACTCGAATTTCAAGTGCACAACTTGGTTTTCATTTTTATTTTTTTATATCCATTAGATCAAAATATTTTTATTTTTATCACATTGATTTTATATGAGTACAAATCAATCAGTAGAAACGCCAAAATTTACACTAATTGTAGATTAGAAAAACTTCTTTGAATTGGACATTTTTGGGGGTTAAGATTTAATAGCATTACAAAAATCAATAATACGACTAAGCTATTAATTAGGAAACCGGTTATGAAAACAATTGTGTACATTAATCATCCAAAAAATTGATTTAATTCATTCAATAGACCTCAAACAAAAAAAGAAATTACAAAAGAATGTATCAACTTTAGATAAAAAAAAACTTTTGTTTTTATAAAGGCTTTAATATTTGCAAATAAAAGTATGAAATGTGATGAGTATATAAGAGTATAGAATTGTCTATATTCCACAAGGACACATAAACTAATAAAAGTACCCATCAATTCACGTGTGCCGATTAATCATCACCACAAAAACCACTCTACACAATAGGCATGCTCTCTTCCTTGTCACGTATAGACTCATAGATATCCCTACAATTTCTCATATATATTCTTCCACTTTTACAGTCTGTTTAATTTCTCCTCATTAATTAATTGTTTAATTAATTAAAAACGATAGTCGATAGATATTTAGGTTTCAATTGCTCGGATAGTCGGATTTACCAAAGAAAATGGCATTCACGTGATTTGCACTTGGAATATTGAGATATGGGCTAGTACATTCACATGCACAATTTGGCGACATAATAAGAAAAACAAAACCTATTAATCTCTAAAGCTGATAAATAAATGGTTTTGTTGTCCACACTCCACATAGAGTAGAGAGAAAGGGACGTGAGCGAGAGAGTTTGGACATCAAAAGTTCATATACAAAGGAGATTTGGTCTCTTCCCATATGTTCTGCAAGAAAATATATTTGTACTGTTGAGTATTATTCGTGTTTTACTTCGGCTTATATAGAAGTGGGTTTGTGTCCACACATTAATATTATTGTAATATTGTACTATATATCATTAAAAACAAATTTAAATGCTTTGTGAAAAAATAGTCGAGCTTTTTTGATATATATATATATATATATATATATATATATATATATATATATATATCACTACACATCAATCGTGTAGAAAGAAAAAAGACATCACTTGGTGTTTACACATCGTGTAGATATAAGATATGCATAGTCCATAGATACTTTTATTGTTTTGTATACGTAAATTCAAAAGATGGTGTCACGTTTTTAGATATATACAATCTTTTTGTTCGTATACATTACAGGATATGATCATATATTCGTATCAATGTACACATTTTATAGTCAAAAGACTAAATGGCCAACCAATATTAAAAGTGATAAAACTGCACAGTTTTAAAAGTGAAACAAATTGTTATATTATATATAGTATTAAAAGTAATTACTGTAAGTGTTAAAATCATCATATTCCTTAAAAGGGTATGATACCCTTTACCCTTTTTGTAAAATTTTCACTTTTAAGCATGATCATGACACCACCTTCCTCAAAAAGGCTCAATTATCAGTGAAAATCGGTTACTAAATAATTTCCTTAAATCTTTAGTTAAAAAGTACAACTCTGACATTATTTGAGGTTAATGCAAGTGTAGTGTGTAGACTATGGTCAATTGCTTAATTTAATTGTATATAGAGATTAAAAAAAAAGATGGGAATGATCTTCACAATTATAACGTCACATTTTTTTTTCCTAAGAATGTCAAATGATTTGTTTTTTTTTACGGCCACTACTGTCAGTGTCAAATGTGGTTTTAAATGTTATTTTGTAAAACAGTCAGTTAAAAATTGCAAAAACCACTTCTTTTTGGGATAAATTTAATAAAATCCTGAATTGTTTTGAGAAATTTACCATATTTAGTCAAACTATAGACTGTAACAAATGTATAAATAAAAATTGCTAATTACATTTTATTTGAATTCTAATGGCGTCAAATTGTCACATCGTTGGACACCCACACAAAATTCAGGTTAAAATGACTTAAGCCATCAAAACTAATAAACTATTTTCTGATGGAAAAAAAAAAAACTATATTCTTACTTGATCTTAAAATTAAGTATACCTGTATAAAAAAACAAAAAAATAAAAATGTAAGAAGGTCTCGTGTTCGTGACAGCTATATATCCTTTGTCTTCTCCCCATATGTATCGTATTCCCTTGTCCGAATCAAATATATCATTCCATGACACCTAACTGCACATTTTGATAATTTAATGATTTTAACAAAAACTCAAAAAATCTTGTGACCAAAAAGAACAAAAAACTGGATAATCCAACACTGCAGAGGCTACTAGACTAATAACACGTGGAAAGAGATCATTAGGCGGCTTCCATTGTATTAGGGAAAGGATTCTTGTATAACTTAAACTTCGGTAATTTTATTAGTTTACCTTATAATATATTTAAAATGCGTTGTTTGGTTCAAATCAATTCACTCCATATACGACTTTAATCCACATAAATAACTTGGCATGCTGCAATGTTCGTGTCTCTCGCAGAGTCTCTGGTTACATGAGTGTTAAAGACAGCTCATTAGTTGAACTAGCTAGAAGATGTGTAATTTGCATGGACTGTAATTGAAAATTTAGAAAGGACCAAAAGGACAAAATAACATCGAGATCTTAACAAGAATGTACAAAAATAAAACCCATTCCATCGATCTGCCCCACTCTCTTCTTCTCAAAGTGACAAAATTATCATAGAGAATTAGGTCACGGGGGCGGCTTTGGGCTACCAAAAATCACTCCTTTTGTTGTATATACATATATATTTTGAACATAGCATTGCTATAAATATTCTATTGTTATTGTTAGTTTATTAATTCATAAATCTCCGAACAAAATATCTATAGAAAAGAAGGAAACGGAGATAAACAGATACAGGCCCAAAGAAGGCCCATTACTTATCTTTCGGGGGTCTCTGAGGCCCAAATATTTCTCTATTGCCCAGCTAAATTAACTGAAACAATTAATTTTCTCAAATATTACTTAGAGATGAGGCCCAAATATTTCAATTTAGATAAAATGATGCCAAATTTTAGATAAAATTAATTAAATTTCATGAAAGTTAGCTGAAATTTAGTGTAATTTCTTTAAACCTCCAAAGTCCGAAGGACCAAAGAACATCGAAGAGGAAGACGAAGAAGAGTTTGAGCTCCGACATAATATGCGGATTCTTGCTGCTCGCATAGCTAACGTAATTTCCCAATATTCTTCGTCTGAAATTTCCTCTCTTTACCCTTTCTCTTCATCAATGGTTTAACGGGTCGTTACCGATTCGTCTGAAATCTGAAGTAAATTCTGCAGCATTTTTGCAGGGCACGAAACGCGTATCAGCCTCGATCTCGAAATTTCTCCTCGTTGAACAAGAAAGGTGCCTCCTTTTACTCGTGGGCTTAAAATTTACACCAAATTAAGATTGAATCAAGTCATTTTGATTTGCAAATCTGATGAGCTTTTGGTTCAGTAGTTGTAATTGAAGTCCATCCTCACTTCACACTAGTAGTGAGAGTCTTGATTTCAATCACATTTTCTTGTAATTATAATTCAAAGTGGTTGCTTTGTTTGATGAATTCTCAAGAGTGTGAATTGGACTCAACAGAGAAGTAAATGGCCTTTAGATTTGGGTGTGTTGATGTTATTGGCTTTGCTTCCATCTTCTAGATGACCTTACATTGGAGGAAGAAGCTGAGAGGAAAATAGGCTGGTGTCTCAAAATTTTCTTTGCTGGGACTGCAACGTATATCGGATACCAGTTTTTCCCGTACTTAGGTATGTGAATGAATCTCTATATCAAATCAGCTCTTACATCTTTTTTGTTTTATCGTGGATCACTGATTGTCACTTATTGTGTTAGGTGATAACTTGATTCATCAATCAATATCGCTTTTACATGTCAAGGATCCTTTGTTTAAGAGAATGGGAGCTTCTAGGCTTTCCCGTTTCGCTATTGATGGTAAGCCTCGGAGTTACTCTCTGATGGATTGTTGAAAATACTTTTTTGTTCTCACCAGTGCTGAACTTGTTTCTAGCTGATGTGATTGTACTCATTTGGTTTGGTCTATAAAGATGAAAGGAGGATGAAGGTTGTGGAGATGGGTGGGGCTCAAGAGCTTCTACTTATGCTGGGAAGTGCTAAAGATGACAAGACAAGGAAAGAAGCTCTAAAGGCTCTTGCTGCTCTCTCTAAATCAGGCCAGTCTTGTTTTAACATGCTCTTTTGCGATTCTTCTACTTCTGCATCTCCATAGATAGATCTCATTGGATATAAGGAATTGTTAACCCTTTTGATCTTTTTGAGTATGTTTAAAGCCAAATGCATCTCAAAATTTTTAATTCCCCTTGGTTGCAGATGAAGCTGCCAACTTCCTAGGCTCTAATGGAGCACTCTCTATCGTCAAATCGACTCCAGATTCCTTGGAAGATTCAGACATTTCAACATACAAGTCAAACATACTCGAGAAGCTACATGAGAAAAACCTCGCCGTCTCCTCCAACTGAACTACTTTTTCACGGACAAGGATTGGTCAAGAATATATATCTTCATAATCTTAAGCTTTCGAAGGTCTGTATCGTTTTATGTTCCTCTTTTTCCAACTTATAATTCTTCAATTTTTTTCCAAAAGAAAGGAATAGTCTGATTTAGATCGATCGACCTTCAATTCTCAATACTGAAAACTGTCTGATGCAGATGTTCTTGTTCATTCAAAATAATGGTCTACAAAAAGTGATTGAAAGAATACTAGTTTTGAAGAGTTGTTCATTTTTTGCTCTCTCTGTTTCAAGTAGCAACAAATATTGCACTCCCTATAGCTATTACATTGCATTTTCTGACACACCTATTTCACAAAGATATAAATATGAATGCTACGGAAAGCTAATAATTTTACAGATTTCTTTGAAGTGATCATGGAGGGGACTGTTTGCAAAACTTTTTTCAACGATTAGTTTGCTGCGAGGCTGTATAAATTTGTCGAGATAGCAATAATGCTAGTGGCAACAGCAAGAACAAGCATAATTGCAGCTACGATCTTCTCTCTTGAGGTTGATACACCATGGATATTCCTGCCATTTCATAATCAGAAAACAATTGATTAGATTTTTGTAGGAAATTTGAAGCAACTGTTGAAGTACATGGTAAAGGAAACAAAGCATATCTACCTTAGAACAATAGCGGCTGGAAATATGAATGCTATGGAGACTGTGGTGGTTGATCCCAAGAACTGAAAGAAGTACCAAATGTCTGGTACAGTGATTGCAGACAAGAAACAGCAAATCAGCAGAGCCAGAGTGAGTCCGATGAATCTTTTTGTGTCTTTTTCCAAGGACGGCTTCTTGGGGAACAAGAGTTCATCGAGATTTGCTCTCAATGAGAAGTTCATGAGAGGAAAGACCAGCATGAGGTGAAGCGCGTAGCTGAGTCTGACAATGTCGTTGAGAAGAGAACCAATGGAAGAACCAGAGCTCTGGTCAAAGTTCACTAGAATATCTGACATTGTTGCATCTCCAAAGAGAAGGTACCCGAAGAGTCCAGTTGCAAAGTATATCGCAGCGCACAAGATGACAGAGAGCTTAGTTGCTGGGATCACTTGTAATGGATCTTTGAGCTCGAATCCAATTGGATGAACTGCACATTTTGAATCACAAACACCAAACTCAGAACCAAGAATACAAACAAAACAGAGAAACAATACTGATTTGGTGAAAGAGATGTGTTCGTACCATTGAAATGAAACGTGAAGGCTGTTACTATAACAGGGGAAGCTGTGAAAAGTTTCCAAAACGATCCTCCATTGCTTAACTCCGGATTCAGTCTTGGATTCTTCGTTTGTCCATTCACCAGCGCGGAAATCGCCAGCACCGAGCTTATGACAACAAATAGAACCGCCAGCAGAAACGATACCGCAGAACTAAATGCCAGTCTTTCTACATAAGCATATTAACAAAAAAAACCATCAACAATCTCATAAACATGCATAGTTTTGAGCACACAAGATTATACAGAGATCCTTACCGACTCGTCTACACAAGACCAATGGAAGCAAGACAAAGCAGTAAATGAACAACAAAGCGAAGATTCTCGTGTTCCACCAGTAAGAACCAAACCATTCTTGCAAAACTCCAAGATGTTGAGATCCTCCATTTTCATTACCCGAAAGCACATCTCCTGAGAGAGTAAACAAACAAATACACACTCAGAAAATCTGTTCTTAAGCTCAAATAGTAGCAGAAGACCTCTACACTTAGATCCAAATTATTTACCTATAATAATCGAAAAGACAATCATACAACCAAAAGTAGCAACCATCGTAGCAATCTGTGCAGCGACGGATCCTGTTTTTCCGAACGACTCTTTCATGACTCCGGCGTAAGTAGTTGATTCTCCGGCGAGTGTTGATTTCATTAGAAATCCAACGGAAATTGTGGAAAGCCAAGCTATGATCGTGATAATCAAAAACGCTGGGACTATTCCAAGAACCTTAAACGCCGCCGGCATCGACATTATCCCGGCTCCGATTATACTCGTAGACACGTTGAAAACGATGCCGGAGGTTGATGATCCATGGTTCTCAGACGACGAAGGTTCTTGCTTAGGCAAGAGATGAGTTTTGATCTGTGGTGACATTTTTCTAACCGCCGGAGAAACTTAAGAATTTGCCGGCGGGAAGAAGCTTTTCTTTTTGTAGTTGTTATGAGGAAACGGCTTCATATAGCCACACTGTTAATACTTGAAAGTACAAAAGTACCCTTTGAAGATTGGGGATATTTGCCTTCACCGTTTGGGGTAAAACCGGGAATAAGATGATATTTGACCATTGAGAAACCTGACAGGCTGGTCAAATCATGTAAGTGAGATCACCAAATGATCTTTCGTCACGTACTTAAAAACGTATAAACATCACGAAAATAAATAATTTTGGCCGAGAGAGGAAATTACAGCTAATATGAACAATCATAATCATATAATAGCTAGAAAGAAGTGAATTATGCAAAAAAATCCAAAAATAAAATGGGTCCAACTCCAATGAATGTTCACTTGGACTTCTTCACGAAGAATGCATCTAGACGAAAAAGTGGCCACATGTGTATTACCGCTTCTCGGCCAAAAATCATTTTAAAAATTCGTGGATATAATGAAATTCACTATATATAATCATTGGCGGCTTCAGAGATGGCTCACGTGTAATAAATAAACTAACTTTAGAGCAGACGGTTCGAGACTAATTTTCATCAAGAAAACGAGAGGGCAGCGAATGTCGAATGAAAAATTGAAAACGTGATACACGAAACAAAATAAGAATAATTAAACACTGTCTTCTAAAATTTATTTATTTATTTAATCATTGCATATGAATCAATCTATAACGAATATTCAAGTTAAGTCAGTTTAACATTATAGAAAATGACTGATAAAACATTATTGCCGAACCTGCATCAGCTATTTTCGTCTTCCGTGGGTTTGGCAACAGCTTTCGTTGAGCACCGACTGCATAAGCGAGAAGGAGTCCGGACATCAGCTAATAGTTTCCGCTAATTAAAGCCATTCAAAGCTTATAGAAGGAAGTGGCATTCCTGATGGGTTGGGTTCCTTGAGTGCCAAGACAACTTTGATATTTCTCGATTCCAATTTTTGAAGAACACTGATCATGAACTCATCCGTTGAGACTTTATTTGAGACCACAAACAAACTAACTACTTCATCAGGATCGAGGCGCGACATGTCCACAGCCATGAGAAGAATGTCCCTCATCGTCCTTTTAGCTCTCTCTCATGTTTATTCACCTTCGACAAAGAAAATGAAATTATATATCCTCTCTCCGAAAATCCGGAAAATGTTCCAGCTGGCGTTCTTTGCTCCCAACATAAATTTTCTAAGCTTGTTTGCCAAGCAAGCAGAGCTTAGTTAAAGCGACTAGGCAACCTTATGCCATGGAAACCCTAATAACCACCTTCATCTTTACTGCTGCAAAGTTTTGGCTTGTCATGTGAGCTTCTTACAAAGATCTTGATACAATTTGAAGCACGAGATCGTATATATTAAGAGAGCAAGTCATGGAGTCTAGATTGATGCTCTAACTAAATAAAGCAAGTCTTCTTTTGCGATTCTTTTACTTCTTGCCACAAAATTTTGGGTTTGCCCTAGGAACAGTACAACTTTTTGATTGGGCTAACTTGGGCTTTTAAACAACAAAGCCCATATAGTAAATAACCAAATTGGGCCCACTTAAATCGGTTGAAAAATCTTTTCCCCTACCGAAGCGTGTCTGATTTTTCGCTCTCGATCGATTCTCGCCTCTCTCTCATCGCAGCGAATATCCAAATCGAAAGCAATTTCTCTCGACGAAGAAAAGAGAGACAATCGGAGTCTGGGGAGGTAAAGAAGTACACGATCGGAGGTTGAAAACGGAGTGAAATTTTCAGGTCAGAGTTTCGGGGAAAAAAAAGAAATGGGGGATCATCTGGTGAGAGCTGAGGAATTTGAGAAGAAAGCTGAGAAGAAACTCAATGGATGGGGAATATTCGGATCTAAGTACGAGGATGCTGCTGATCTGCTCGAAAAAGCAGCTAATTCCTATAAGCTCGCCAAATCATGTAAATTTCCAAAAATAATAATCAGCCGACCTTGATTTTTGCTTTTGTGTGTTTGATTTTTGTTTCATCTGATTGATTTCGTGGGTTTTGTTTATTTGTGATGATGATGATGGTGAAGAAAAAGGGAGAAATTGAGACGTTTGATCTTAGGTTTATAAATTGATATGTGGGAATTATAAATTGGATATTCAACATTTTGGCCTTATAGTAAGTGATTGATAAGTATCTTCTTGCTTATGTGTTTGATTTGTGTGATTGTTCAGGGGATCAAGCTGGAAAAGCTTATCTAAAACTTGCTGATTGTCACTTAAAGGTAAATTCTTTGGCAACACATATATGATACTGGAAGAATGTGTGGATTGTTTGATAACATTGATCTGCATTTACAGTCAGACAGCAAACATGATGCTGCTAACGCCTATGCTGAGGCTGCTAAATGCTACAAGAAAGTTGACACAAATGGTATGTATAAGCTACTTTTGTAATTGACATCTCTGTAATACAGAAGTGATTATCAATTCTTGCGGGTTTTCATGCGTCCTTATATTACCATCCATGACCTTATACGCAGAGGCTGCATCTTGCCTAGAGCGAGCAGTGAATATATTTTGTGAGATAGGAAGGCTCAACATGGCTGCAAGATATTACAAGGTACTACATGTCTCTTTTGAGCATGAATTAGATATTACTCTTTTAGTACGGATACTGAGAAGATAGTTTTATTGGGGCACTTCTTCAGTATTTCCTCCATAGTTCCTGTTGCTTTATGCATGTTGGATCCTGTCGGATTTGTTTTTTTCTTTCTACACTACAGTAATCTTAATATTGACTTTCTGTATTTGTACTAATTGGTACATTAATGGTTTTTTACTTTTGACAGGAAATTGCTGAGTATTATGAATCTGATCAGAAGTTCGAGCAGGCGATTGCTTACTTTGAAAAGGCAGCTGAATTCTTTCAAAATGAAGAAGTGACCACTTCTGCAAACCAGTGCAATCTAAAGGTTGCACAATATGCTGCACAGCTGGAGCAGTAAGATCTTCGGCACCTTACCTTTTTTTTTTTGCTTTCTCATCCCTTAGTATTGAAGTGCTTATAGTACTCAGATGGAACCTTGTTAAAATTGAATTGTCAATCCACAAACTCGACATTGTTTGGAATCATGGTGTTCTCTACGCATGAGCAGCAATTATAGCCTTTTCTCTACTTTGGGATGGATTGACTAATAATGTGCTTGTTGTATCTTTGATAGATATGAGAAGGCAATCAAGATTTATGAAGATATAGCACGCCATTCACTCAACAATAACTTGCTTAAGTATGGGGTTAAGGGCCATCTTCTCACTGCTGGCATGTGCCACTTATGCAAAGCTGATGTTGTTTCCATCACTAATGCGCTGGAGAAATACCAGGTTCTTCTTCTTCTTCCAAAGCAAACACCCGTAACATCAGCATTCTGGTGTGGTCCTTTGAGTAACTATGACATGTTTTCTAACTTCTGCTTTCTTTCAGGATCTGGATCCGACTTTTTCAGGAACACGGGAATGCAAGTTCTTAGCGGTAACTTTTAAACTTCTGTTGTTTAAGAAAGTACGGAGTATCTACATAAAGTATGTTAAGTGTTGTACATTTATTCACATGAATAGGATCTTGCTTCTGCTATTGATGAGGAAGACATTGCAAAGTTCACAGACGTTGTCAAGGAATTTGATAGCATGACTCCACTGGTACGGGCAGTAAACACGTACAACTATTTGAATGTAATCTCTTTTTTACTGTCTGGTTCTTGATCATGGAATTGGTATAAATGCAGGATTCATGGAAGACAACCATGTTGTTGAGGGTGAAGGAGAAGCTCAAGGCCAAGGAGCTGGAGGAGGATGACCTTACCTAAACATATATATCCAGAGCGTTGCTTTTTAGTCATTCCCGGTTTGTATTGTCACTATGTCCGTTACTTCATATCCGACTCTTCTTTGATTTTATTGTGTCTGGTTTTGGTTTTAAGGTTTCTTAAGAGGTTTGGTCAAATTGGGTTTGTTTGGTATCAACGTCTACATTTGTTCTCTGTTTCTCATCACTTCATTTATGGGAACTTCTCAAGTCTTTGGAGTTTTTATACTGGTTAAATATCTGTGGGGATTCTTCTTCGTTCAACGATTATTTGATGAATCGAGAGGTTTAGGTCTCGATTATTTGTTTGCTTTTACGTCTACATCTAATAAAAGTGTGTTTTTTCTTCTTATGAACGACAGACAATTTGTAGTGTTTTGATTCATATTTTATTGCTCTGTGTATCTCTGATTGCACGTTTTTATGAAAGATAAACATTTGGACTAGCAAGATTTTGCACGTTACATGGAAAAAATATTCTTACAAACATATATCTTGAGAAATGAACACATATACATACAACAATAAATTGTGAAAGGAACCACTAAACAAAGAGATTGAGGACAGACATTATACTAACACCAGTTCTCGTTGTCATCGACCATAACAAGCAAAGCAATGATAAAAGCATAATCAACCTCTGGATTCACTCTCACCTTAAAATTATATTTCCCTTTGCAGAAACTTCCCCATGTAAACTTATGTGTTACCTGCAATATAAGGATTTCAATCCTTCACCAATGTATAAAAATTGCCTAAATTTAATAAATATGGGTTTTTAACTTTTACCCCTACCCCGGCGATGAGAGCATCCGATTTGAAAACTTTGAATGAGATATTGGAGTATCCTCCTGAAGCATGGAAATCACAAGTGTTGCTCTTCTTGACATTGTTGTTCTCAGGCAAGAAAACATCCACGGATGTTTTCAATGAAACCGCTTGAGATTGTTGTACCGTGAAGAGCAAGTCTTCTCTCTCTTTGCTCTCTCCTCCATGCACTTCCCACTTGTTCTTCAACGCAAGTCCCTAAACAATCATACACAATTTCAAGTAAGAGTCATTTTTTTGGTATGTTTGTTGAAAGATTGAAATATTTGTAACCTTTTGGCGCATTGAGAGGATTGTGAAACCGGCTGGATCACGCATAACTCTTTTACGGTTAAATCCCCAAGCTTGTCCATCAATTTGTAAGAGCAGGTTCCCACTTGGATCAAAAACTTCATAATAATCTTTAGAAAAATTCTGAACTTTTCTCTTCACCACAAGATCCATTGGGTATGGATTACAGAATTGATCGCTCACTACGCTTATTGCGGGATCTCCTACTTGCCATTCTGTTTTTTTATTCTTCGGCATTTTCGAATAATATCAAGAAGAAGAAGAAGATTGCAAAAGCTTATGAAAGGCTCTTGTTTGAGAGCCCTTGATAATCCTCGTGATGATGAAGAATTATCAAAAACACCTCTTCACATTTTCTTAAAACGATATATCAACTAAAAACAAATTTGAAATTGCAAGATTGGTTTTTACTTTCTCAGACTTTTATTCTCAACCAAAGATTGTTAAACCCCAAAAATAATCTGTCACCTTATATTTAGAAACAAAACAACTAAGCTAACTTCTGTTTCAAGGTTCAAAGAGAAATTCTCCATTGCCAAAAAATACTTATCAATACATACAACATTTACATAGTGCTCTTACAATTACAACAACAAATCACAGGTTCTTCAATTCACAATAATCATAATCGAATAATTTTGTTTTTTGTTTGGTTTTGTTATCGAACTAAACATAAAAAGGTATCATTAATTGCCTTCACCTTTGTTCTTTCTCCACTCCCATGGCTTCTCTGCATTAGAAGATGCCCACAAGCCAATACGCTTTTGCCTAGCCTCATTTTCCCACTGAACTCAAACACCAAAAAACCCATTAAACATCATAAAAACTTATTTAAGAAAAACTTGTAAATGAGATGCACAAAGGTTTATAAAATCTTGCCTTTGCGAACTCCCTGTCGTAGGCTACATAATGTCATGCTAGCTAGACCTTTCTTTAACATTACTTCCTGCACACAAGTGTATATATAGACGTCAGTTATTTACAATACATAAACTCAGTGAAAACAGTTAACTTTAATTAGAAAATGACAAAATTTTAAGTAAATGGAAATTACTACATTTTTTTTCTTCAATAAAAAACATATTTAACAAAATAGCAATATGTAAGAATTTATCAATGATATGTTTAGCAATCAAACCGACTTCTAGTCCTTATAAAAATAGATGAATCTCTTGTTATTAGCAGCCACATCTAACCTAATTTACTGTTTTCGTTTGTTTGTTTTACCATGTCTTCCTCGAACAGCAAATTCTCTGGTAAGTTGTGTCTCTATGCCTTCCTCCTTTTTTTTAATCTGTCATATATAGTAAATCAATTTGTATTATTTTGTCCTCGCAGAGGCTGAGACAGGCGTCTTCTGGGACCTAGATGAATGCCCAATCCCTGATGATCTTAGTCCTGCTTCCATCTATGATAATATCAAATTAGCTCTCAAGAATATGGGTTACACTGGTAGGGTTTCGATTTTTGCTTATTCTAGTGCGAATCAGAGCAAAGAAGAGTTTGAATCTGCCAACATCCAGCTTAATACCGCAGGTTAATTAATTCTCTCTCTCTTTTACTTATTGCTATATTGTTCTACTATATCTCCGTTAATATATTTGTACTTACAATATTTTCAGACGGTTTTAAAAAGATTATGTTTACCATGGCAATTTATAATTGGGGAGTATACCATCCTGATGAACCAACAAATTTGATGGTAATAACAAAAGACATCTCGAATAGCGATTCCTTCGTCTCGAGTCTTGTCTATTTAAGAAAGACAGAAAACAACATTCTCTTAGCGCAACCTCGAAACGCATCAGGAAGGCTACTTGAAACTGCAAGTCTAGTTTGGCTTTGGACTAGTCTATCAACTGGAGGGAGCCCTATCGATAACCAAAGTGGAAGCTCAAAAGTTGCTATCCCTTCTCCAACTTGTTCGCCTGAGACAGGCGTCTTCTGGGACCTGGATGATTGCCCAATCCCTGATGATCTCACTCCTGCTTTGATCTATGATAATATCAAAGTAGCTCTCAAAAATATGGGTTACAATGGTAAGGTGTCGATCGTTGCTTATTCTGTTGCGAACCAAACCAAAGAAGACTTTGACTTCGTCAACATTAAGCTTATAAACCCAGGTTAGTTAACTAAAACTCCCACACTCTCTTCCTCTTTTTCTTGTTAATGTTGTGCGCATTTGATCTCCTCTGTTGATATATTTCAGGTACTAGTCAAGAAAAGGTTAATACGATGTTTAAGGACGTTTATATGTGGGGAATAAACCATCGAGAGGAACCAACAAATTTGATGGTAATCTCAAAAGACATCTCACAAGACGCTGACTTCGTCTCAGCTCTTGTCGATTTGAGCAAGAAAGAGAACAATATTCTCTTAGCGCACCCTCGAAACACATCAGGAGTGCTACTTCGTACTGCAAGTTCAGTTTGGCTTTGGACCAGCCTATCAATTGGAGGGAGCCCTCTCGATAATCAAAGCTCACAAGTTGCTACCACTTCTCCAACGTGTTCTGCTTCTAGGAAAAGGTCATCACTAAGTGTTTCCAATAAGCAGAAGAAACGTCGGACCAAACCTCTTCACAAGAAGCGGAAGAGCAGAGCAAATCCTAACCCTGAAGATTAGCTAGTCTTGACAATGTTTTTGATATTAGGATATTTTCTTTTGAACAAATGTCTTCAAATGATTAGCATGCGCATAAGCTTATATAACACAGCTCATTGATATTAATATGGGGACAGACATACATTACAGCCTGTGTCATTACAAATATAAATTTATTTTGCTTACAAGCTCAGAGAAAGGCATTATTAAATTAATCATGGTCGATTAATCTTTGATTCATTGGTATTATATAATATTTGCATGCATGTGTAATGGAGGGATATATATTGAGATGATGAAGCGAAACAGAGGAATTTGCCTGGCACTGAGGGAAACAGAACCCAGTTGGGTTCTATTTGGTTGAGTTTAATATATAGGTTCATATATTATCTCCTTGCTTATGTGCTCGATATTGGTAAGGGGATCAAGCTAGAAAAAAGTTTAGCTGTCACTTGAAGGTAAATTCTTTAGTTACAAAAATGTTATACCGGAAGAATTGTCATTGTTTAGCTACTTTCAGTTATTTATTCTCTGTTTTTGTCATTTGAATCCTTCTAAAACTCATGAACTTATAATGTTTTGATTACTACTTTATACATCTTTTAGGTAACTATATACATGGGAGAAGGATGGTACTACGATTTCCCGCACACAAAACAATTAAGCTAACTTCTGTCTCAAGGTTCAAAGAGAAATTCTCTATTGCCAAAAAAATACTTATCAATACATAAAACATTTACATAGTTCTCTTACAATTACAACAACAGATCACAGGTTCACAATTCACAATAATCATAATCGAATAGTATTGTATTTTTTTTTTTTTTTTGGTTTTGTTATAATTAAGTGCCTTCACGTTTGTTCTTTCTCCACTCCCATGGCTTCTCTGGATTAGAAGATACCCACAAGCCAATACGCTTTTGCCTAGCCTCATTTTCCCACTGAACTCAAACACCAAAAAAACCCGTTAAACTTTTTTTTTTTTTTTTTTTTAACCCGTTAAACTTCAGAAAGCCTAATCCAAGAAACTTGTAAATGAGATGCACAAAGGTTTATAAAATCTTGCCTTTGCGAGCTCTGCACGCTTGTCGTAGGCTACATAATGCCAAGCAAGACCTTTCTTTAGCATTACTTCTTGTACAAATTTTCCATTGCAGTATATATCTCCTACACATCTTCCATAACGATCCTCTGTATATACTAACACCTTCAAGCATTTCCCTTCAACCATCTTGAGTAGCTCATCGTGCGCCTCTTTTCCATACGGCATTTTGCTCTCCGGTGAATCTATTCCGCTGTTTCGTTTTCATTCCCAATTCGTTCTTAAAACTCCATATATCTTTTAATTTGAAAGAGCTTATTTGAGTGGAAGAATGTTTTTACCTTAGTCTAATTCTGAACTTTTTAGCAAGCACTTCTTCATTCTGAAAACTTATCATCCTAAGTATAACATAAAAGGGTTTGGAATAGTCATGAATTTCATAGCTCAATTTTGATTTGACACTATCATCTTCTTGTGTTAGTAAGTATATCAAAAAACACAAACCTGTAACCAGAAGCTATGATAGTCTTGTGAAGTGCATCTGCTTCAGTATAATTCTTCTTCTCACGCGCTTTGGCTCTTTTAACCGCTGCAAGACTCACTTCCTTAGGAAGAGAAGATGACACAAGCGGGTCTTTGCTACTAACATATACAGTAACGGTATCTCCATCTGCTACAGATTTTGTATCCACCTTATTTCAATTAGAAAATTTCTTGATCAGCAACAACATAGTCATCATACTAGCTCCCAAACCTTTTAAAGATTCATAAGTTTTCTAACCGGAAGCGTTTTAAGCTCAAACCGAACTCCTTTAGGTAAAGACACAGGAGATTCCGTAGGGACCTCAACGAGATTGTGAGGTGAAGGCAGTCCATAGAAAGACAAAAGTCCCTGTCAATGCCATTAACAAATCAACCATATCAATAATGCATCCTCCAAAACTCCTTAACATTTTTGCAACTTGAAGAAACATCATGATTAATACCTCAACATCTGCTTTTAGATGGTTCTTTAGAGTCGCGACAACAAGCCTAGAGGCTTCCTCAGGAGTTTTAGGCCGAGGCTTAGCTTGCTTCCATGCCTCAAGTATTTTTCTATACCTTCAAAACATGTTTTGGAAGAAAAAGACATTAAAATATGAAAATTTTCAAATCTTTATAGACAATATTAGCATGATCTGTGTTTTGTTTCTTTACCAGTTTGCTTGAGCCTTTTGGGAAGACACAACGTAACTCCCAAGCTTTTCAGGAACCTGAAATAAAATGAATTTGAATTTAGATCATAATCATTCTAAATTGTGAATGATCTCTGACAATTGGTACTCTGCTTTATAGACACAAATATAATTTAGACAATTCACTTAGAAAGTGAGTTTCAAAACAGAACTAAAGAACAAATCCAAGAAAAATCAGAAAAGTGAGAAGAAAGCAATGAAGAGAGACCTGAGAAGTGGTCTCAAAGTTTAAGAGATCACGAGAAAGAGCTGAGACGCCGGCGGAAGAGGCGGAGACGCCGTGAGGCTTATCGTCCGCCGTGGGATTCAAGCATTTCCGGAGTAACCTAAGCGCGTTACCCATTTCTTAGATTTGATTTTCTGGAAACAGAACAAAAAGAAAGAGTTTTGATCTTTCTTCCTTTCTCGTAAAAAGTCTTTGATTCAGTTATATGGAGCAGAGAGATAGTTTATCGAACAAGCGAAATCATACGTGGCAGTTTGTTATTGGGTAAGAAGCTGTTGTGATTAAAATAATAGTTTTTTTTTTTCCGATCTAAAAAGTATTAGGTGCCTTGTCGTAATCAGATTCGATTTAGATTTTACGACTTTTTGCTAAACTCATAAGTCACAACCTTGGGGTTTAAGCAATCTTTACTTGATGCATTGAGTTTAATTCCTACTGCTCAAAATATTTTCGATGGTGTGATTAGCACAAATTATATATTTTTCTTCAGCAAAGCCCTGGCTTGTAAATCCTAGTTCTAATTGCATTATTTATTTTCTGTTTCTCTACGTAACTTGAGAATTTTCAATTTATTATTAATATAGTTTTTTAATACCAAAAAAGTTTTTCTTATTACAAAATCAGGATTATTCATTCAAGAGAACCACCGACCCTTGTGGGCATGATTCCTTAAAACATTTATGGACAATACAAATTATATAGTTGACTAGATCATGATCCGTGCTACAACACATATTAAACTTTATCTTATATAGAGTTTTTTGTATATTTTATATTTTAAAGTAGAGTTTTGATATGTCGTATTAGTTTATGTATTGTGATGTTATTTATAATTATACTTAAAGATAATAACTAGATCGTATATAGCCCACAATTTTTTTATAAAGACCTTACAAAAAGTATTTATAGTAAAAAAAACTTAACAAATTTTCATTTAAAAAAGCTTTCAAATTTTAAAATCTGAATCGATGGTTTTAGTGGCTTGTCCTTTAAACCGACATGGACGAAAGAGCGCGTTACTATATTGGACATGTTCTGCATTTATTGAAAACGGTGAATGATTGCTGTGCACATCAATGTCATGTGAGAGTCTATGCTTCTAAGAAAGGGAATATGAATGTTTGTGATACAATACTGTATATAAATAATGGTGATTCAGTTAAATGGAGTACATTTGAAATAATTTGGGTTGTCTCTCCTTTAGCTTTTATGTTTAACCTTATACCCAATGTTATGTTTAATCTTGTGCCCTCTGATTTGGCCCAATGTTTGATCCCAAGTCTGAACAAAGTCCAATATTGGTTTGGTTTCAACCCTTGTTTGAAAATCGCTAGGCGCTAGTCTGGCGCTCGGTATGGGCCTAGCGATTAATCGGAAAATCAGAGATTAGTTTTAGGGTTATTTTAATATTTTTAAAAACATATTAATTCAATATTGTTTCCAAAATTGCAATAAACACATAAAACTGTATTTTAAAGATAAATTTTTCCTGATTTTTATTAAAATTTGAACATAAGTTATGGTAAAACATCACAAACTTCCAATTTAAATGATTGCATAACAAAAATAAATTGGGATATGTAAAATTAGGCGGGGAGTAATCAGATTAGACGGAAAGTAATCGGATTAGGCGGAGAGTAATCGGGTAATTGATTTTTTTAGGAGATTAGTCATTTATCGAGGCAGATAGGGTGGGTCTAGCGATTAAGCGTGGAATAATCGGGTTAGGCGGGAATTTTTAGAAAGGGGGGGTTTCAACCAATGTTTGAGGCTGAAAGACAAACTCATTGTGATTGGTTCAAATTGAAAATGAATTTATATTTTTGAGTTAATGAATAAATAAAGAGTGTAAATGGTAACAAGAAAAAAATATTCAACCAGATTCAACCAAATTCAGTAATTCCGCAGTTACCATTTGCATAAAACTAAATTCAGCTGAATTCAGCCAGATTCAACAGTTTTTCCAACATCAACAGATACATAGTATGTTCATTTCAGATAAAAATTTGGATTGTAGCGATTCACAACTCGAATTAAAATATTTATGGCTATTAAAAATTACACATCAAATTTATATTTTAAAATAAGTTAGATCATACAAATACGATATATGAATAATTCATACACATAAATCATTACCAGAATAGACAAGAGACATATTTATGTTCAGATATCTATAGATAATTTTAATAAATTTTAGATACTTAAATATAATTTTCCAAATTTTTGCAAAAATAACTCATACTTATGCTAAAATAATATTTAAAATATCAAATTAAAAAAAAAATTGTTAATCATCCTAAATTCCTAATCATATTAAGGATTTAAACTGCTAGAGAACAATGAAAAATCAATAAGATAATCTATACTATATTATCATGTTTATTTTTAAATTAATTTTTCAATAAAACTTTGACAAAGCTTTCTATTAATTAATTATATCTTTTTAATAGTTCAAAAATTAGATCTGGAAGAACAACTCAATTTTGCTAAAAAGATATTAATTCTAGTATTTATTTATTGGTATAAGAGTTAATTAGACTATTAGATAATTTTATCTATTTTATTTAGATATTTTTCTTTAGTTATTCTATTAATATTCATAATTATTTGACGATAAAGTCTTAATTATTTTGACAGATTCTGCTGAAAAGCACAAAAAAATTCAGCTAGAATCAGCGGTTACCATTTAAAAATGTAAAAATTCAGCCAAATTCAGCTAAAAATCACTAAAAATTTAGCCAGATTCAACAATTCAGCCGGATTCAGCCAGATTCCTCGGTTACCATAACAGTAGCCACTAGCCAGTAGTAGCCGGACTTGTTTAAAACTGAGTAATGCAGAACTAATAGCAGCCAAACTCATTTGTCTGCTCACTTTCGATTCTAATTCTGTCTACTCTCAATCTCATGGCGATAGCTAGTATCCTGGCTTCAACCCAAAACCCCTTTTTACGTCTAAGTCAACCACCATCTCCGGTGAGCCGCTCCGTCGTCTTCCGCCGCTATCTTGAGCCCTGTGGCAGACGATGGATTCCCAGATCCATTAGAGCATGCCAATCTTCCGACAAGGTCTCTGTATCTGTCACTATTCCAAGTTTGCGTGTGGAGAATGAATTGGATTTATGTAAATGATCAAACTTTATTTGACTCGTTGGAGATTTTTGTTTTTGTTCACAGCTTGGTGGTGACGGAGCCATTTCAGCTTCAGCTCAAAGATTTCATTTTGGCAAGGAATTTATGAGTTTTGTTTCAGATAATTTCTTGCCTCTAGGTAACATTACACATTCCTCTTGCCATTTTCTCCATTTTTCCACTCTATTTACATAACCACTGGGCTAATCCTCGTTTTCCCACTCTATTTACATAACCACTGGGCTAATCCTCACTTTTTGACATTTCAATTGTGCTTTGTTGGTTATTTGTTTGCAGCTCTTGTTAGTGGAGTGGCTTTGGGCTTTGCAAATCCAACTCTAGGCTGTCTTGCTGACAAATACTCCTTCACTAAGATCAGCACATGTGGGATATTTATTATATCAGGTGATTCTATCATGCTATGGCATAGGTGTACAATTGTTTTCTTCTTCTTCTTTTTCTGTTAAAAGGGTGATGGGAGCAATCACTTTGTTTCTGTTGAATAGCTTATCCATTGTGTACTCTTTCTATGTATTGTGGAGCAGGGTTGACTTTACGTACTGAAGCGATTGGTGCTGCTGTTAAAGGATGGCCTCTTGGAGTCTTCGGGCTAGTATGATCTTGACTCATCTTTAGCTTTCATATGTTCTGTGAATGGTTCCTCTTCTATCTAGTTTAGATCTCTTCTGCTAAATTCTGAAAATAAGAAAATGTAATGAATAGAAACCTTCTGCCCCAATGTTCTTTCGTTCAGTCATGCTTTTGTGTAATAACGACCTTCTTGGTAATGCTTTTCTTTTTTATAACTTCTGTTAGTTATTATACTGCATACTTAAACCCAAACTATTTCTCTTTTTCTTTCAGATCTCTATTTTGTTGCTCACTCCATCCTTCTCAAGGCTAATTATGCTGGTCCAACTCCAACCTCGCGAACTTGTTACAGGTTACCCTGTCCCTATCTGAACTTGTTACTGCTTATATTGTATCGGCTTGCTTTGATTTGCAGTACATCTATAGTTTTAGTTACATTGTCTCTCGTTTGATCCACCAGGTTTAGATATATAGTTATTTTACAACTAATTGATCAACTTCTGCGTGATCAAGTAGTTGACCGAAGAGCTAAATCTGATTGCCTTTGTGATCTTGTATTCAACAGTTCCACTTTGATGTTGTCTTTGAATCTTGATGGGTTCTTTACATTTATTCAATTTCGATTTAAGAGTGACTGCATAAAATGCATAATATGGAAGTAGCTTGATTAGTTAGTGCTTTATATAGTCTTTAACTTTGAATACCTTATTCTTCAGTTTCCAGCTCAGTAGTGAATTAGTGATTGAGGAGTCTAAAACTTATTTATGTCCTTTTGCTATGTACAGGGCTGGGTATATTTTGCTGTATGCCAACCACCTTATCAAGTGGTGTTGCCCTTACTCACGTACTCAATTTGATATAAGTCTAATCAATATTTTGTGCAGAACTGTTTTATTTGCGTTCCACTGACTTATCAAATTGCCAATTCAGCTTGCTGGTGGCAATGCTGCTCTTGCTCTTGCTGTGACAGTGGCGTCTAACTTATTAGGAATTTTAACTGTAAGCCGATCGAGTTGAAGATTTTTGTTCCTCTTTTGAGACTACAAGTTGATCAGGGATATTTCTAGTGAGATGGTTGCTTGGTCTATTTTTCAGTATTGCTTTTGCTTTGCAATTTGATTTCAAAATAGCATATGATCTTGTATTATGAGTAGGATTCAAAATCTCTACTTGGGAAACTCTGTATCTATGAATAGGATTCAAAGTCTTCTGTTAGGAATGAGTATTCCGTCTTCTGCCACTGAAGTTTACATGGTTTGACCTCTTATCAGATTCCATTTTGGGTATCAAGATACATAGCTGGGGGAGTAGGGGTTTCGTTTCCTACTGACCAACTATTCAGAAGTCTTATAGTTACTTTGTTAATTCCTTTAATCATTGGCAAGGTGAGACAATCTTTCTGTTTGTCCTACCTTTTGTTCTTGCAATGATGAATCAATATCAAATTCTGCTATACAGTACAATTGTGAAAGCTAAATTTTCAGAGGCGGTTGTTGCCAGAAGCTATATGAATGCTTTATTGGAAAGTATAATACGGTTTGTTGTGTTGCTCATATGAAAAGAGAAGAGAGCTTACTCTCTATTATTTGTTTGCTTCATTTTTTCTTAAGAGCATCTTGAATGTAACTGGTTACTTTCCCTGATGTTTATATGAACCTTCCACAAACAGTCATTGCAGCATGAAGTTCTATCACTTTACCATTTTGCGCATGTTATTAAAATCGAGCTTTGACATACTTGGGTTTCTTCTGTTATAGGTTATTCGAGAATCATTCAAAGGTGGGCGCCATTTGTTATATTTTACCTTTCTGGTGAAAGTAATTGAATATATACCATTTAAAATAGTTAGCAGCCACTTTATCGTGACAATAGATCAAAATGGTTCTGAAGTAAATATGTATGCTCATTGTTGCCTACTTTCTGACCATGTTGAACTTGAAACTCTTGTTGGAATGTGTGATACAGGTTTCGCAAACTTTGTTGACAATAACCGTAAACTCTTTTCGAAAATCAACGCAATCTGCCTCAGTTTGGTAAGATATGCAATGTTAGTCCCCCGTGGAGTTTTGCTTTGTTGCAGGAATATTTATCCTGGCATTTTAGTTGACTATACTTGAAAAAACTTTCTCCTTTCCTGTATGATAGCGTAGGGGGTACAACATTCCGTGGCATTGATGTGCCAATCCAAAGCTTTTACTAAATTGCAGAAACCATATTTGCAGTCATGGTTATGACTTTAGGAGATAGATAGACTTATACTTTTTTTCTTTTTCTTTTGGCATAACCATTGCATTATAGTTTAACCTCTGCCTCCCTGGCTACTTCAACTGGTCTGACTTTGTTATTGCATTTACCTGGTTTTTTTGGGAACGTAGTAGTATGTTGATTTCATGATAATATTCTAGGTGCCATGGATCCAAGTGAGCAGGTCAAGATCACTGCTACTATCCGTTAAGCCTAAGGTGTTTCTTGCTGCCGTTGGCATTGGAATGTATGCATTCTTCTTTAACATTTAGAAAAGATACCAAGTGAAGAAGTACATGGAAATATTTGGCTCGTGTGCTAGAAATGCGGAGTATTAACAAAAGATTCTTACGTTATTTTACAGATTGCTGCATCTTTCTCTACTAGCATTCAATGCTGTTTCAATCCGCATCCTCTCGGGTGTTTCAGGTGGTAGTAAGAACTCCAAGGAAAACACCACTGCAGTCTTGCTCGTTTCGAGCCAGGTAATAATAGAGTTTGCCTTTAGAACCGATTTGATCTCTTAATTTGGAAGTTCTTTTCTTGTGGCATAGAAAACATTACCTGTAATGGTGGCGGTAGTAGAGCAATTAGGAGGTGCATTTGGTGAGACAGGGCTTTTGGTTCTTCCATGTGTAGCTGCACACCTAAACCAGGTTACAAGTTATATATTATAATAAACTTGTGTGCATATCTTTTTTCTTGATTATTGACATATACTTGTGGAATGTGCAGATCATGATTGATTCAGTTCTTGTTAACTTATGGCGCAGGAGGGGTAAAGATACTTCGACTGGTGTAAAGACAGCCTGAGAGATATAGAAAGATATGAAACCAATGTTGTGGTGAAGAAACACATTCAATGATGTGAAGTCTTTCGAACCATTGACGATCTTTCTGAATGCTCGAGAGATTCGGTTTTCCGGTCGAGTTCTATTGGTGTTTGCTGATTCCATTTGTATGATTTCTGAAAGAACCATGTAAAAAGAATCTTGTATAGTAGTTATATCTAATAGTTTATGACTACCTCAAATAAGACGACCACCAGGCGGACAAAGTCTTGAAAAGGAATACGGACCGGTTAATTTCTCAATTAATTTCAATTAGTCCTGGTTCGACCAAATTGGTTTGTAAATAAAAAAAAAAAACCGATCGAGAGCGTTTAAATTGAATTACCTCGGTTTTCAGTTTCGGTATGGAAATAGAATAAAATCGAATCCGGTTTAGTGAGTAAATCACGAAACCCTAATTCTATATTTTTATCTCGATCTGCAACCTTGGACGGCTACACACTTTCTTCTCCACAACATTTTGTGTAGATTCGTTATCTTCTTCAAGCATCTTCTTCAAGCGTCTCAATTCAGGTAATTTCTTTGTTGCTCATCTTTCTCAACACCATTTTGGATTCGAGTTTGGTGTATCGTGATTCGCGTCTGCATCTGTGACACTATTGAATCGTTAAAATCTGATTTTAGACAGATTCTTACCTTAAGATTGCAAGTTGTTGGAATGGATTTGATTTGTTTGAGTACCTCTACACTTATATATATATAATCTCGATGTATCTTTGCTCTGCTTCACTATTCAGATTGGTTACTTTTTGGTGTATCAGGTGTTCTTGTTGCTTACCTTTCCAGCTAAAGAAGATGACGTCTCGTTTTTTCGCCCAGGTTTCCTTCGTTAGACCTCACATGTCTTTTATAAAACTCTCTTTACTTGCTTCGTTCTCTGAATGAGATTGATTCTTGTTATGTTGATAGGGTGGAAGTGAAAGTGAAGATGAGAGTGATTATGAAGAAGAGGTTAATGAGGTTCAAAATGACGACGTCACTAACCGTTACCTTCAAAGTGGTAGTGAGGATGAGTTGGATATCGATACCAAACGTGTGGTTAAGCCTGCTAAAGATAAACGTTTTGAGGAGATGACCCACACTGTTGAGCAGATGAAGAATGCTATGAAGATCAATGATTGGGTTAGCCTTCAAGAAAACTTTGATAAGGTTAACAAACAGCTTGAGAAGGTTATGAGGATTACTGAGGCTGTCAAGCCTCCTACCTTGTATATCAAGACTCTTGTTATGTTGGAGGATTTCTTGAATGATGCCCTTGCAAATAAGGAAGCCAAGAAGAAGATGAGCACTAGTAACTCCAAGGCTTTGAACTCTATGAAACAGAAACTGAAGAAGAACAATAAGCTCTACGAAGATGATATCAACAAATATCGTGAGTCTCCAGAAGTTGAGGAAGAGAAACAACCTGAAGATGACGACGATGAAAGTGATGTCGATGATGAAGAATCCGTGGACGGACTTAACGTAGAGCCTGAGTCTGAAGATGATGTGGAGGAACCTACTGATAATCTCTCTTGGGAGAAGATGCTGAGCAAAAAAGATAAGCTTATGGAGAAGCTGATTAATAAAGATCCTAAAGAGATCACCTGGGACTGGGTCAACAAGAAGTTCAAGGAAATTGTGGCTTCTCGTGGGAAAAAGGGCACTGCTCGATTTGAGCTAGTTGATCAGCTTACGCACTTGACAAAGATTGCCAAGACTCCTGCGCAGAAGCTTGAAATCTTGTTTAGCGTTATTTCAGCTCAGTTTGATGTGAATCCAGGTCTCAGCGGGCACATGCCTATCAATGTCTGGAAGAAATGCGTGCTTAACATGCTCACCATACTGGACATTCTCGTCAAGTACAATAACATTGTTGTGGATGACACAGTTGAACCTGATGAGAATGAAACTTCAAAGCCAGCAGATTATGATGGCAAAATTCGGGTCTGGGGAAATTTGGTTGCATTCTTGGAGAGGATTGACACTGAGTTTTTCAAGAGTTTGCAATGCATTGATCCTCACACCCGTGAGTATGTTGAGAGACTGAGGGATGAGCCCATGTTCTTGGCCCTTGCTCAGAACATCCAGGACTACTTCGAGCGGATGGGTGATTTTAAAGCTGCTGCAAAGGTAGCCTTAAGACGAGTTGAGGCAATATATTACAAGCCCCAGGAAGTTTATGATGCTATGAGGAAATTGGCTGAGTTGGTGGAAGAAGAAGAAGAAGAAGAAGAAACTGAGGAGGCCAAAGAGGAGAGTGGACCTCCTACATCATTCATTGTTGTTCCGGAGGTTGTTCCCCGAAAGCCTACCTTCCCAGAGAGCAGCCGAGCAATGATGGATATTCTTGTGTCCCTTATCTACAGAGATGGAGATGAGCGAACCAAAGCTCGTGCGATGCTATGTGATATCAATCACCATGCTTTAATGGACAACTTTGGGACTGCTAGAGACCTGTTGCTGATGAGTCATCTGCAAGACAACATCCAGCACATGGACATCTCAACACAGATTCTCTTTAACAGGACCATGGCACAGCTTGGTCTTTGCGCCTTCCGGGTTGGAATGATCACTGAGTCCCATAGCTGCCTTTCCGAGCTGTATTCTGGTCAAAGGGTGAGGGAGTTGCTTGCCCAAGGTGTTTCGCAAAGCCGATACCATGAGAAGACCCCAGAGCAGGTAACTACTTATTTTCTGTTTTTAGATCTTTTAATACAAACAGGATGTGAAAATAAATTGTTTGACCATATAGTTCTGACTGAAACATGATTACAAACACTGTTGCATTTTGAAGTTTTTAATTTTGTTTCCATTTCACACAATAAATTTTCTCTGTTTCAACATGGATGCTTATGGTCAAGTTTTTCGTATGTGGTATAAAATTTTCTTGGTTTACTTCTTGGTTTACCAGGAAAGGATGGAGAGGAGAAGACAAATGCCGTACCACATGCACTTAAACCTCGAGCTCCTGGAGGCAGTTCATCTCATCTGTGCCATGCTACTTGAAGTCCCAAACATGGCTGCAAACTCGCACGATGCCAAACGCAGAGTGATTAGCAAGAATTTCCGCCGCCTGCTCGAGATCAGTGAAAGGCAAGCATTCACCGCGCCGCCTGAGAATGTACGTGACCACGTCATGGCAGCCACCAGAGCCCTGACCAAAGGGGATTTCCAGAAGGCGTTTGAAGTTTTGAACTCTCTTGAGGTCTGGAGGCTGCTCAAGAACCGTGACAGCATCCTCGATATGGTGAAGGATAGGATCAAAGAAGAGGCACTAAGGACTTACCTATTCACATACTCAAGCTCCTATGAGTCCTTAAGTCTTGATCAGCTGGCCAAAATGTTTGACGTCTCTGAGCCGCAGGTCCACAGCATTGTGAGCAAGATGATGATTAATGAGGAGCTTCATGCAAGCTGGGACCAGCCAACTCAATGCATCGTCTTCCATGAAGTGCAACACAGCAGACTACAATCATTGGCTTTCCAGTTAACCGAGAAACTCTCTATTTTGGCAGAAAGCAATGAAAGGGCAATGGAATCTAGAACCGGTGGAGGTGGTCTGGATCTGAGCTCAAGGAGAAGGGACAACAATCAAGACTATGCAGGAGCAGCATCAGGTGGTGGTGGATATTGGCAAGACAAGACGAATTACGGACAAGGAAGACAGGGTAACAGGTCAGGGTATGGTGGAGGAAGATCATCTGGACAAAATGGTCAGTGGTTAGGGCAGAACCGAGGAGGAGGGTATGCAGGAAGAGTTGGTTCAGGCAACAGAGGTATGCAGATGGATGGCTCAAGCCGTATGGTGAGTCTTAACCGAGGTGTTCGTACTTAAAGAGGATCAGAGAAATCTGAAGGCATTGTTGACCTTAGGCTCAACCTTTTGTTATGTTTTGAATTCCTTTTTGTTATCAAATGGTTCTTTCTAAGAGATGTTCATCACATTTTCTCGCATTGTGATTGCTTCTTTTCTTTGTGATATTGGCAGTTGTTGGAACAAACTTTTAAGAATGCTTTATTGAAAAGTTTAATAAGTTTTTGTTTATACGTCATTCTTATGGAAAAGAAAATGGCTTTGATTGTTTCTTCTCGTTTCTCGTATGCTTGCAGGTCTGTTTTTTTTGTGAGGTCTTATTTCATCTTTCTTTGCTTAGTTATTTCTTCTCGATGAAGTGTTTGATTCTCTTATTATTATTATGAACATCTGTGATTTAATTGGCCACTTTCATGGTTTAAAGATGATACATCTCGATGTTGTTCAATTCTGTATTTGGTTGTGACGACCATCTAAATGAAGCTTATATATATATATATATATATATATATATATATATATACATTTGCACATGAATGTTGAATGCATATAGTATCAAATTAACTAAAATTAGTCATATCAATTAGGGCCAAAGCCCGCGGGCTAGCCCGGCCCAGCCCTGAAAAACAGCGGGCTCGGACTTCAAAATGTCCAGAAAAAATCAGGTCTTTCGGGCTAAAGGATTTTTTGGGCTTAGCCCGGCAGAGCTCGGGCTTGCCCGAAAAGCCCTTTAAAAAATATTTTAACCTTTTTTTGTTAATATTTTCGTTTAATTGTAAGATTTGTTGTAAAAAAAATTTTGATAGAGTTGAAAACCCTAAACTTAGTTTTTTTGTTGTGTATTACTATAAATCGAATAAGCAAATATTAGCTTTTACTACCTAATTTGAATTATTTTGATTTTATATTTTATCTAGTATATAAGTTTAAACAATTCATTTGGATTATTTATTTGATTTTAACTCACTTTTTAAAAAACTAAATTAGCGTTAGTGATTATTTAAATTTTGATTGACTCGTTTCATATATAGATTTTTTTTTAAGAGATATTAGAAATTATAAGTTTGTTTTTTTGTTGTCGGAAGAAAAGCCCAAAAAAGCCCGGAAAAGCCATGTAGCCATGTTAGGGCCGGGCCGGACTTTAAAATATAGGCTCGAAATTTTTACGGACCGGGCCGGACCGGACTCAAATATGTACGGGTTTTGCGGGATTCGGGCCGGGCCGGGCCGGGCCAGGCTAGCCCGATTGACATGCCTAACTAAAATGAACATGCCTTTATTTTAATGATATTTTTATGATTTAAATTATATTTACAACTAATTCTTGACTCCTCTTGTTAACAAACAAATTTTTAATTTTTTTTAAAAAACACAATATTTAATAAAAAGAAAATTTCTTTTTAGTTTATTATCAATAAAAATAAGT